TCCATTAATAGAACAGATTTATGGAATAAGTTACTGCAAAACTGTATTGATGGTAAAACGTTTAATATTATACATGCTATGTATGAAAATGGCAAATCTTGTGTACGACAGGGTAGTCAAATGTAAGATTATTTTTAAAGTAATGTTGGTGTTAGACTGGGAGAAAACCTGTCTCCTGTACTTTTTCACTTTTTCTTAATAATTTAGTCCAGTTTGTATCTAATGCATATGATGTGTTGTCAGATGTTTGTAATGCTGTTCATACTGCTCTTGATATTGATGAAATTTCTGTCTATTTAAAAATGTATCTATTATTATATGCTAATGACACTGTTATACTTGCTGAATCTAAGGATGAGTTACAAGCTGCACTTAATTCCATGTATTTATATTGTAAGCCATGGAAACTTGAAATTAATGCTACAAAACCAAATTTCTTGTATTTAGACACAATGGTGGCACCTATATTTTCATATGGGTGTGAAGTATGGGGTTATAGTAACAATAATACTGTTGGATCTTTATTCTTGCAAATGTAGTTTAAATTTACCGAATGGTTTTGCAGCCAAATTGAAAAATGTTCTTTAAAAAAATATGGTCCAATCATGTATGGGAAAATCAAATACTTTCTCAAAATGCCTGGTTAATGCTGTAAGGAACAAATTAGCTTAAAGATATACAGATTTCTGGAAAAAAAACAGTCTTTTTAATGACCAAAATAGCCCTAATGGAAACAAACTAAGAACATACAGAAAATTGAAAAATAATTATAAATTAGAATTTTTTTTTATTAATAGATTTAGACCGATACGTGATATCTAATTTTATTAAAATAAGATTAAGTAATAGTAATCTAAATATTAAACAGAATAGACACCGTAAATTACCTCTGGAAAAAAGATTATGTCCCCTCTATAAAAATGTTGTTGAAGATGAATATCATTTCGCTTTAAAATGTCAAATTTTAGAAAAAAAGTAGGCAAAAACTTTTTCAGGAAGGAGAGAGTATAGTTCCATCTTTCAAAAAACTGTCTGATGAGGAAAAATTTACATTTATGTTTACATTTAATGAGTATGACATAACCAAAATTATTGTTAAGGGGGTTAATGATTTATATGTACTAAGAAATGGCCTAGCTGACCAGAAAAACTAATTATGTAATACAAATTTGTGATTATTTTCTATTTTTCATATATATTTGTTAAGTTATATTTTATAACAATAGCATTAAGAATATTGTACTTTTACTTTCAAATTTGTAAAAGTATCACCTCCTCCAAAATATCTAAATATACGAGATACTTATATAATATGAATATTGCTTAAATTTGAATATTGTATGTTTGTAAATATTGTCATGTTCGTCTTGGTAACAACCCGATATTTGGATTTTACACCAATAAAATGATTTGATTTGATTTGCAGTTTTATAAGATTATTTTAAATGTTAAGAAGTCAACTCCAAATTGTATTATGTATGGAAAAAGGTAAAATAACAAAAATCCCGAACTCCAAGGAAAATTCAAAACGGAAAGTCCTTTATCAAATGGTAAAATCAAAAGCTCAAACACATCAGACAAATGGAAAACAACTATCATATTCCTGACTTGGTACAGACATTTCCTTATGTAGAAAATGGTAGATTAAACCTGGTTTTATAGCTAGCTTAACCTCTCACTTGTTTGACAGTCATATAGAATTCTAAATTGACAAACATGGGTACACATATATATGCCATGTCTGGATGGACAAGTACGGTTACATATACATGCAGATGAACAGGCATGGGTACATCTATATCTGAAAGGACAACAATGGGAAATAGATACGAGTACATACTTATGTGGATGGCCAGGCATTGGTTCAGCTTTTTCGGATGGACAAACATGACTATATCTGGATGGATAGACATATGTACAATTATAGCTGGTGGACAAACATGGGCAAAATTGGGTAGATAGACATGGGTAAATATATATTTAGATGGATATACATGGGTATATCTCAATGGAAGGACATAGGTACATTGATATCTGGATGGAAGGCATGGTTATAATTATCTGATGGACACACATGGATACTTTTATATATACAGATTGACAGAAATGAGAACTTCAATATCTGGATGGACCGATATGGGTAATTATATATCTGGTTTGACCAATTTGTGTATTTCTATATCTGGATGGATTGATATGGGTAACTATATATCTGGAAATGCCGATATAGGTAATTATCTTACCGCCTATACATTTCTACGAATATCATTGGTTTAAAGCGACCGCGTGGAGACCGTGTATATTTCATATGGGGTTAGTAGGCGTGGTTTATTTCAATACACGGTTAGTAGTGGTGTTACGTCCCTTTAAAAAACAACACGACGTTGAAGACAAATCTGAAACGTTTCACCCGGACAACAAACGAAGAAATTGATGATGAACGATTGAAATAAATGCAAAAAACACATTAAAAGCTAAGAAATTGTTATTGTTGGCATTTGTTTTTTATATCGACCAATGAAGGTATATTCTTTATATTGAAGACTTAATCACTTTGATAGGCCACTAGTCTAAATGCCACCAGTTAAGATAGTCGGTAAGATAAATGCGTTACACAGCTTCGCTCTCAACCCATATGGAATTTACTGACCCCATATATATCGTATTAGGTCACTAGCAAACTGTGTAACTCATATTTTACACCTGGATGGACCGATATGGGTAGTTATATGTCTTGATATACCGATATGAGTAATTCTCTATCTGGATATACCGATATGGGTAATTATACATCTGGATGGATCGATATCCAGATATTAACACTTATGGTCCTTCATCCTGTCCATACTTATATTTTGGCATTTCTTAAAGTCATGATTTTCTAACTGACTTTAACTTCTTTTCACTAAATCCGTTGAATGTGTACTGATTGATACTTTAGTCTGGTGGAACAGGCTGGATTTTACTTGTTGCATTTTGCTTTGAACTACCTTCAGAAGCACGAGTACTAAGTAATTTGAGACCAAAAATAATAGCCAAATCCATCTCAGGTTAACTTTACCTGATAGAGGTAAGACCTTAGTTTCTAAATAATTTCTTAATTTATGAACGGACAATTTTTGAAAGGTATGTTCGAAATCATGTCAGGACTGATACACTGACTACTGAACTGATGACACATTTTAAATTCGTAATCTTGAATACTTTCCACAAGTATATATCTGGATGGACATAGGCACATGAACATCTTGGAAAATCATGGGTATATCGATATCATAATAATACCTGGGTAGATATGGACACAAATAGGTACATCTGGAAGAACAGGAATAGATAGACAAGGGTAAATCTGGATGGACAAACATTGGTACATCTATTTCTGGATCGACATACCTGCATACATTTTGATTGATAGACAAGGGTAAATCTGGATGGACAGACATTGGTTCATCTATATCTGGATGGACATAACTGCGCACATCTTGATAGAAAGACAAGGGTTAATCTGATTGGACAGATATGATTGTATCTTGATGGACAGACATGGATACATCAATTTCTGGATGGACAAACATTTGTATGCGGATTGAAAGACATGGGTACATCTGTATCTCGATAGACAGGCATATGTATATATAGATTGGTATAGGTAAAGCTGGATGGACAGACATTGGTATATCTGGGTGGACCTTCATGTGTACGTCTATATGTCTCATTGATGGTAGAGAATAAAACCATATCATATTCCCTTTATATATATTATATTGAGATATGTGTTTAAAAAATTGATTAACGGTTTAAGTATTTGGTGAACAGGAAGTTGATGATAGATGGATTTGTTAACACATCACACAGTATAGTATGATCACATAAAGCTTGATGAAACATTTTAGAAAGCTCTGTTCCCGAGAAAAATGTGAAGAAAACCTCACCCATGGATATTTTTTTGAAAGAATATAAAAGTACAACAAGAGGCTGTCAGAGCGACAGCAAACCGGATTTTTTAACATTTATTTGTGTCCTGGCATTTTTCAATATCACAAGGACCATAACTCATGAACAGTAAAAGTGACAATCATCAATATTGAACTTGACATCCATTTTGTCATCAGTAACAACATATTAATATTCGAAAAGCTTTGGTTGAAATATTCATGAGTTAAAGCTTGGACACGTCTGAAAGACCATTTTTCAGTCTTTCAAGAATTATAACTCCTGAACAGTGAAAGTCAAAATCGTCAATATTGAACTTGACCTTCATTTTGTCATCAGTAACAACATATCAAAATTTGAAAAGCTTTGGTTGAACAGTTCATGAGTAAATGGACGGACACTGTTTGGCAGCCGCCCTCCCGCCGTACATCCCAAAATCAATAACCAATTTTTCCTTCGGAATCCGATTAAGAATGTTTTGGAAAAAAACCTTCAAGCCATTTTTAGGAGTGGAAAATTTAGAATGAAAGTCTGTATAACTATTATTTTCACAAAATTTCAGCACAAATCAGTTGAGTGGAACCAGGCGTAAACTCAATCTGTAACTCATCATAGTATACTCACATACTAAAAATCAGCTTAATATGTGAAGGCATTTAAAAAAAAAGTCTGTACTGTATAACTGTTATTTTCACAAAATTTTCAAAGTCCAAAGCCCATAATTTCCGCAAAAATCAATGGAGCGAAACCAAACGTAACTTGATCTGTCATTCAGCATAGTAGACTCAAATATTAAAAATCAGCTCAATATGTGAAGGCATTTAGAAAAAAAATCTGTATAACTGTTATTTTCACAAACTTTTTTTTTCCAATGCTCATAATTTTGGCAAAAATCAGCGGAGCAAAACCAAACTTAAACTTGATCTGTAACTGTTCGTTGCTAAATGACTCATTAGGGTAAAACAATATGGCCCCGGCAACTTTGTTGCAGGGCCATAAAAATTATCTACAAAGTTTCATGAAATTCTGTATTGTGGTTTCAGACTTTGGGGTATAATAAGACTGAAGACTTTACAATTGTTTATTTACAAAATCATTGTAGTGGTTTCATCATACATCATTTACATACCATGTATTCTCAACAAATTTAATGTCTATGAAATTCTTTAAAAATGCACCAATAATTTATTTGCATAGAACATACATGTATTTCAACATCTACTCTTCAAGCTTTCAGTAATACAAACTGATTATAAAACTAATACAAATAATGTATATACCATAAAAAGGTGTCAGCAAATATGACAAGTACTAAAGACAACTTCTATTTGCAAAAGGCTTTTATATTATGTTCTATCTTAATATGCAAAGTATAGATTTCTTTTGCACTAGTAGTATGCAGTCATTAATTTAAATACAGCAACCATTTTTTAAAAAATGCTGCGAATAGTACTGATATACCTTAGACATGTTGATTTTTCCTTGCAAAAACCTAAAATTCATGTTTCCAAATTAAAAATAATATCATTTAAACAGTTTACCCACATCAATTCTGTAACTATTTTGAAAACAATCTAAACACTTAGGTGAATAAATATCAAATGCAAAGTAATGAAAACATACGTTTACAAGCAAATCATGAAACCATAAAATAAAAATATTTCTTTTATGGTAGTTTGTATATAATGACAATGCCAGATGTGCTTAACAAATAACTTAATCATAAAAAAATCTACTGATCAAGATTGCAATAGAGCAACCATGAATTTCATTTATTTTAACTAATTTCAAAATTTACATCATGTTTCCTTTGAATGACAAAATCAAATATGATTAAAATTATCTAAAAGTAGAAAAAAAAATGGGTCAACCCTGAAATATGTCAATGTGGATTTCAATGAATATTTCTATTAGGCATATCTAATTTCAGAAAAACTGAAAGAATCATAAGGAATATGAAAACATACATTTTTATCAAGTAACATAAAAAGCTTGCCAGAACAAAAATATCAGTCAATACTTTAGTAAATTATGAAAATAAAATTAGTCAATAATGAAGAAGGTTTTCAAATTTACTGATATTCAAATGTTTAATCCACAGAGTTTAATTGTCTTATACGCCCTTATGAGAAACAAAAATTAAAAAACTAGAGTAAACAAAAATCTTGTAAATTGTTACTGTTCTAAAATGTCTGATATGTAAGAAAAGGCCATAAAGATATATTGATATTTTTCTAATTGTTAATTATAATTTTCATAATCATTGTCGTCAGAAATCCTTTTGACATGTAAACATTCAGTCAGTGTATAAAATGAAGCAAAGCTTAATATAGCTATAAAATGAGCAAATGTCTGTAAAGTGATCAATCCTGTTGATCTGGTTACAAAACAAAATATAAAAGTACATGGAGGATCTCAAATATACAACTAACATTAACTTTGTGACAATTATCACAACTAGATAGCTCTAGATAAAATTCTAAGTACTTCTTGTGTTATCATGGTTAGATCCCAATTTTACATCATTTAGTTGTTTTCAGATGTTTGTGAAAAATGCTCATACAAGTAAAATATCCAATTTATTACTCAAATTTGGAAATGGGTTTTTTTTCCTATGAAATCCACAACTTTGAATCTCACAAATAAAAAGAATTTTACTGCAATGTCAGATTTCAATAAAACTTGATTATAAAAAAATCCTGGTATTAAATTATTATATGAAATCCCATTTAAAAAAAAAAAAAACATTTCCAATAAATACTGTAATAAGTAATGTATTCCAATTATTTAAGAAATCTTTGTTTCACATTTAAATTATTCCATGACTTCCACATAATTAGCAGGAAACATTCCAGTATGTCCATTAGGTCCAGTACCTGTCCACCATCCTTCATCAATCATTTCTACATTAGTTATAATATCACCAGGGTCAAAGCTTATTTCAGTGTCATCAGCTGTAACAAGAAAATATAATCATTTGTAAAGTTATACTGGGATTCATTACTTTATTCAAATATATGCTTACATTTTATATAAAATTAAGGAAGTGAGAGAGGCTTGCAATGAGATAGTCAGCTAAAACATTCATATTTTCTTTACTCATTTCCAGAGTTAGTGATATATGTTATAAGATTTGCCATGAATATGTGTGCAGCTTGGAAGTATGATGACATTATGGTGTCAGAAGTAAGCTGTGTGGAGATGGTTGCAACTGTTGGATTGTATAATGGATTTGTGATGGTACTAGTAACAGTAGTTGATGCTACAGGGGCATTAAATGTTGTTGCATGTGCGACTGGTTTTGCATAATCTGAACGTTTTCTACCCCTATGTTCTGCAGTTTTTGAATTAGATAATGCCTGTAACAAAAATATATTAACTTCCTTTGACATGAGATTGTGTGACAAGAGTTGACCATTTTTTATGTTTAATTATATTAATGTTATTCCCTATCAGAGATTTTTAAACTTGTGTAAATAAATTGGCTATTTGCAACATGATATTGACCTAAAGATAGGAGAGTCACCTATGCAGGTATTTTACCGTGGAAAATACAGAATGCATTGACAAGACAACAATTTTACTTTCATGGGCTCAGGCATTTGTGTTAATCTTTTGACTATTGTAAGGATCATTTTGGTTTATCATTCTATGCAAATACCAATATATTCAGCAAGTCTACTTCAACGGAAATGTATCCTTATTTGAGATATCTTTATCAATGACAAAATCTGGTAACTCATCAGAAGCATTAAATTTGCTTCCATATCCAACACTTTTTAGCTGTTTTGTTTGCATAGTAATGCAATGCATTAACTGCCACCCTGCTTTGCTGATCTCTGTCTACTGTCATGATATCATACCTCCTTGATAGCTGTACAATGCTTTGGCTGTATCCCTGCATTGCTGATCCCCTGTTTACTGTCATGATACCATACCTGCTTGATAGCTGTACAATGCTTTGGCTGTATCCCTGCATTGCTGATCCCCTGTTTACTGTCATGATACCATACCTGCTTGATAGCTGTACAATGATTTGGTTGTATCCCTGCATTGCTGATCCCTTTTTTCTGTCATGATCCCATACCTGCTTGATAGCTGTATAATGCTTTGGCTGTATCCCTGCATTGCTGATCCCCTGTTTACTGTCATGATACCATACCTCCTTGATAGCTGTATCCCTGCATTGCTGATCCCCTGTTTACTGTCATGATACCATACCTCCTTGATAGCTGTACAATGCTTTGGCTGTATCCCTGCATTGCTGATCCCTGTTTACTGTCATGATACCATACCTCCTTGATAGCTGTACAATGCTTTGGCTGTATCCCTGCATTTCTGATCCCTGTTTACTTTCATGATACCATACATGCTTGATAGCTGTACAATGATTTGGCTGTATCCCTGCATTGCTGATCCCCTGTTTACTGTCATGATACCATACCTGCTTGATAGCTGTACAATGATTTGGCTGTATCCCTGCATTGCTGATCCCCTGTTTACTGTCATGATACCATACCTGCTTGATAGCTGTACAATGATTTGGCTGTACCCCTGCATTGCTGATCCCCTGTTTACTGCCATGATACCATACCTGCTTGATAGCTGTACAATGATTTGACTGTATCCCTGCATTGCTGATCCCCTGTTTACTGCCATGATACCATACATGCTTGATAGCTGTACAATGATTTGGCTGTATCCCTGCATTGCTGATCCCCTGTTTAATGTCATGATACCATACCTGCTTGATAGCTGTACAATGATTTGGCTGTACCCCTGCTTTGCTGATCCCCTGTTTACTGCCATGATACCATACCTGCTTGATAGCTGTACAATGATTTGACTGTATCCCTGCATTGCTGATCCCCTGTTTACTGCCATGATACCATACCTGCTTGATAGCTGTACAATGATTTGACTGTATCCCTGCATTGCTGATTCTCTGTTTACTGTCATATATTACTCTACCTGCTTGGAAGCAATTCAATGTTCTTTTTATTATTCTCCTGTTATTTTATTATGTTTACTTACTTGCTTGATAGTCATACAATGCTGTAACTGTCACAGTGCCACCTGGTGTTACTACTGGTGCCCCTGTGTATTGTTGGTCTTCTGTAGGTTGTTCTTCTTGTTGATAATTTTGTTCATCATACTGAACAGTTTCTTCATGTTGAACAGCTGGGATTGTTGTTTCTGGCTCTGAAAATTAAAGTATTTATTATGTTTGAAACTGTTAAAACAAACACAGACAATTTAAATGGTATCAATCTTGAATTCAATCATTTTAGTATGTTTTTAAAGTATACATAATCTACTTTTCACCTTAGTATTACAGTGTATCAAGGTCATCTACTCAAATAAACTTCAAATGATTTAGTGCTATAATGCCCATTTTCTAATCAAGATATTGGCTACAATTCAAATTTTCTTATGAACAGAATGAACACATAGTTAAAACAATTAAAAATTAAAAAATTTCACAAAAAAAATTAGTTTATTTTAGTGTTAGGAACACATTATCTATTTACCCCCAAAATCAGGATTCTGCTCACACTCTCCAAACAAATGGCCCATCACTCAGAGGTCATTACAACATTAAAGACCAACAAAATGAATTGAAGATCTCTATCGATTATTGTTTTCAAGAAATCATTTTTTTTTTATAATTTTCAATAAAACTGTTGACACAATAAATGAATAAGATACAGTAAATATATTTCTCTTTTTATAAATTAATAAGATAGAGTAAATATATTTCTCTTTTTTCAATGAATTACTTATGATCTACATCAGACATGTACAGATATTTGTTTTTTCCTCCCCATGAATAACCCTCATGATTTTTAAATTTAAAATGAAATATGATCTTACCATCTTCCCATACATCCACATCTTGTTCTCCATCGGAATCTTGTCTCTGAGGCATTCCTTCTGCTAACAAATTTCTGGATTTGGGTGTACTCTCTGTTGATGGGGGTGGGGATGTTTGTCTGGGTGGTGAAGGACCACGGGGTGGTGGTGATGGCTCCCTGGGAGGAGGTGAAGGCTCTCTTGGTGGAGGTGATGGTTCTCTTGGCGGAGGTGATGGTTCCCGTCTTGGTGGTGATGGCTGCCGCCTTGGTGGTGATGGCTGTCGCCTTGGAGGTGATGGCTGCCGACCAGGCGGTGGACTTCGTTCTTCTTCTCTTGGTAACTGTATTGGTTGTTTTCTGCTTGGTTGTTCATTGTCTTCTCCTTGAGACAGGAATTCTCCTCTCAGCTTCCTATAACAATTAATAAAACATGAATATTTCTTCTACATGATTTCAGATATCATATCAATTAAAGGTCATACTGTAATATATATAAATATCAAAATAATTCATATCATATTATTTTTCATTTTAAATAATAATATAAACTATTAGGAATGGTAAGATTTTGTTTCAAAAGTATTTTTTAAAAGAAACATTTACAGTACCTCGATTATACCATGATAATAAACAGCTACACTAGGAACATATGATATCTCCTTCTTTTGCATAAAGAAAGAATAAAATGAACGTTTAGAAGGTTTTTAATTAGAAGTCAGTATAAAAGTATAAAATGGCCCTGTAGAATAAGTTCCATGAGGATATCCTTGAGAATATCGATATTGACTAAAACATGACCGTTAAAAGTCCCATAACTCTGGAAAATCAAACCATTAAGTTTTAAAAATCAAAAGAGAGTCTACATTCATGAATCCCAACAACCATCTAAAAAAAGAGCTAATGAGTGACATGTGAAAAATTACCTTAAAGCTGAAGATTAAAATCCCATAACTCTGGAATAAAATATCAAAAATTTTCAAAATCAAAAGCTGTTCTCTAATTCTTACCCAATTTACCCTTTTTCTGACTGGTTGTTTATTTTTTTAATAATCAATGTGATTCATTTGATCTCAGTTCTTCTTTGGTCTAAATTCAATTATGAAGTAAAATTTTCTTGCTTTCCATTTAATTTCCTAATGTGACGTCACAAAAAAAGGCGACCATGTCACATATAAAGAACACATCTTTTCGCAGACAATTGGAAAATAAAGATAAAGTTTTGTCTACATTTAGTTTAAAATCGAAACAAATTCCACCACCAAAACTTGTGTGATACACTATTTCTCCACTTTCAACAGTTAAATGTTAAATATTTAAAAAGCTAGACAATCCTTATGTAATAATTATGAAAATTTTATTGTCTCTAATAGAGAAATATAGTTTTACACTTGATGAAAGCGTAAAATCTATATTTATCTTATTTGTTCCATTTTAAACTAAACTAACTACAACAACTGAAACAAAAATCTCATCCTATGCTTAGCCACTAGATTTACAATCTCATCCTATGCTTAGCCACTAGATTTACAATCTCATCCTATGCTTAGCCACTAGATTTACATCCTATGCTTAGCCACAAGATTTACAATCTCATCCTATGCTTAGCCACTAGATTTACAATCTCATCCTATGCTTAGCCACTAGATTTACATCCTATGCTTAGCCACTAGATTTACAATCTCATCCTATGCTTAGCCACTAGATTTACATCCTATGCTTAGCCACAAGATTTACAATCTCATCCTATGCTTAGCCACTAGATTTACAATCTCATCCTATGCTTAGCCACTAGATTTACATCATATGCTTAGCCACTAGATTTACATCCTATGCTTAGCCACAAGATTTACAATCTCATCCTATGCTTAGCCACTAGATTTACAATCTCATCCTATGCTTAGCCACTAGATTTACATCCTATGCTTAGCCACTAGATTTACAATCTCATCCTATGCTTAGCCACTAGATTTACAATCTCATCCTATGCTTTGCCACTAGATTTACAATCTCATCCTATGCTTAGCCACTAGATTTACAATCTCATCCTATACTTAGCCACTAGATTTACAATCTCATCCTATGGTTAGCCACTAGATTTACAATCTCATCCTATGCTTAGCCACTAGATTTACAATCTCATCCTATGCTTAGCCACTAGATTTACATCATATGCTTAGCCACTAGATTTACATCCTATGCTTAGCCACTAGATTTACAATCTCATCCTATGGTTAGCCACTAGATTTACAATCTCATCCTATGCTTAGCCACTAGATTTACAATCTCATCCTATGCTTAGCCACTAGATTTACAATCTCATCCTATGGTTAGCCACAAGATTTACAATCTCATCCTATGCTTAGCCACTAGATTTACATCCTATGCTTAGCCACTAGATTTACATCCTATGCTTAGCCACTAGATTTACATCCTATGCTTAGCCACTAGATTTACAATCTCATCCTATGCTTAGCCACTAGATTTACAATCTCATCCTATGCTTAGCCACTAGATTTACAATCTCATCCTATGCTTAGCCACTAGATTTACAATCTCATCCTATGCTTAGCCACTAGATTTACAATCTCATCCTATGCTTAGCCACAAGATTTACAATCGCATCCTATGCTTAGCCACTAGATTTACAATCTCATCCTATGCTTAGCCACAAGATTTACAATCTCATCCTATGCTTAGCCACAAGATTTACAATCTCATCCTATGCTTAGCCACTAGATTTACAATCTCATCCTATGCTTAGCCACTAGATTTACACATTTTCTTTGGCTTACAGAATCTTCAAATATCATGGATTTATATAATTTTAGAGTTGCCATGATTGTAAGAAAATTCATCTTTCAAGAAAGCTTCATTTAGTAGTTTATCCGTTTCTACTTAAAAATTGTATTTATTTGATTAGCAAAGAAGTGATAGAATAAATGCCCACAACAGTGAATCAGTGAACCAGAAGAGCTACATTACATGGGAGGTTTTGAATCAGTGAATAAGTGAACTAGAAGAACATTACCTTGGAGATGGTGGTGTGAACTACATTACCTTGGAGGTGGTGGTGTGAACCACATTACCTTGGAGGTGGTGGTGTGAACTACATTACCTTGGAGGTGGTGGTGCGAACCACATTACCTTGGAAGTGGTGGTGTGAACTACATTACCTTGGAGGTATTGGTGCGAACCACATTACCTTGGAGGTGGTGGTGTGAACTACATTACCTTGGAGGTGGTGGTGCGAACCACATTACCTTGGAAGTGGTGGTGTGAACTACATTACCTTGGAGGTGGTGGTGCACGTCTTGAATCTTCTTCTGTTTGTGATTCTCTTCTCTTAAATAACTGTCTGGCATTGGAGGCTGATGAGGAAGTTAATTTAGTGGCCTCCTATAAAATTTATAGTTCATTTATATTTTGTGTTCTTAAAATCCACATTCAAGAATACATCATTTAGTTTATCGATTTATCTTAAAACAATGTGTTCAAATGTTCTTTCCTCACAAAAGAAAGGATATGTCTAATGGATACTCATTCTTAACAGACATGTTGAAAGGATTATATATAAAAATTAATAAGTAGAAACTTCCTTAAATTATATTATTCCACTGTATGTAAATATTGATAGCTAAGCGAAGTAAGTTGTATTTTTTATTTTGACAATCTAAGAAAAGGTTCTTAAGCCAAAATATAGAACTTGAGCAATAATTTGTCTTTAAAATTATTGATATCAATTAGCTTCATTGTCCTTTAAATTATCAACATTTTGATAAGTCTGCACGAGAGGGTGACATTAAAAAAATTGTCTCCCGCTGAGCCATCGGATAGAGTAAATTATCTCCCTCATATTAGCCAATCAAAATCTGGCATTTTAATGTGAAGTATAAAAAAACTTCATATTCCCCTCTGAACATCGGAACTACCTTGTCTGACATTAAGCACAGTTATGTACATAACTTTTTGAACATGTTTTTTTTTTTTTAAAACAGCAATAGAATAGTCATTATTGTGTTATTTCAGACATAATTTTTTTTTTTTAAACTTGAACTTGTCATAGAATAAATGATTAACTTTTGATCTGTATTGTTTATCAATGTTTATGTGGTGATTAGTTACAAAAGCAAGCGAATATGATACAATAATATGCAAAATTAATATTTTATTTTCAGGAAGTAAAAAAGTAAAGGCAGTGGAATAAAACGTATTTCCCTTAGCTTAGGGAGTGAACATTTTTTCACTCTCAAAAAATAATATTCCCTCAGGCGATGCCCTCAGGAAATACGATTTTCTTAATTGAACAAATATTCCCATCTCCGTCAGTCACGGGAAATAAAGGTTTAACATCTACTGTAATTATAAATGTTTAGCTTCAGCCTTGGAAATTAACAGCTAGATATATTAAAAATTTATTATTTTATGGGAAAATGTCTGCTTTTGATTGGACAACCAGTTGCTAAGTCAGCTTATATCTGGATATATCCCATATTTTGACATCTAGATGTCTTGTTATTTTGTATCCTCTAGTTGATATCTCATTGACTATAACCAATATCTCTTTTTATTCATGTAAAAACTGTTTGAAACAAAGTGTATATTAGCTTTATATGAATAATAACATTATAAGTGTATTTATTACATTGTAGTTATGTTAATACCAGGAACTTTCTATGTTTCTATGGTTGTTTTAACTGAAATAATCCTAGTAAATATGTCATTTGAAAGTCTGTTCACACCAAAATAATAAATAATTCTGGTTTGTGAAAGGGTACATAGATTGATTCAAAGTTGATGCTGACATACCTATAGCCTACTTAATTTGCTTGAAACCTTCATAACTTATAATCATCAGAATTGGAAAAAAAAATAAAATGTTAACAGACATGGTAATTGATACACATGTATGGACTTACAGCAGCTCTTTCCTTTCTCATTATTTCACTCCTATGAGCCCTTTCTTCCTCATCCATCACCTGTCTGCTCTGTTCAACTTCCTATAAATATACCAATGAAGAGAATAAGAATACACTTACAATGGGTGCTTCAAAATTTAATAACGTTATTCGTACATGTAAAACAATCTAATATTATAAAATAAAGAAATAACTGTTTTCTGTTTAAAGCGGCACCAGTGTCAAATGCAGATTTGTGACAGTCAAATCCCAATTGATGCTGGCAATGCTTCCAACACATTTCTTTTATCTCTATTTTAATGCAATACCAGTTTCAAAACAAACATTGGAAATATCTTGGAAACATCAACAGTGATTACGCAATTTTGCTGCCCAACGAATCCCGACTATTAACTGAGAAATAGTAAGCAGACATCATCATGTGTGCATGTGATTCAACTTATCAAAATAATTTCCTTGCGACCTTTTTACTCTTTTTTGTCAAGATATGGAATACTTTTTGCAAAAAAAACTATCTGTTGAAACCATAGTAAAAAATAGATATGGAATAATTGTACATGAGACAATATCCAAAATATACAAAGGAAAAATGTGTAAAACAGTAAAGCATGTTTTAAATAATTATTTACCCATCTTTTCTTTTCTTCTTCATTATCTATCTGACTAGCTCTTCGTTCTCTAACTTTTTGTTCATGAACCACTTTCATTCTCTCTTTCACCTGTTTATCTCTGTCTTCTGCCTCCTTTTTCTAAAATTAAAATAGTTTTCCAGTATTTATTTAACTGCATGTTGCAAAACTATTGTGGGGAAAAAAAGGTATGAAATATTAATTGAATTTCTATTCTTCATCCATGAAATCTTTAAAATTAATTTTTCTATGGAAGATTGTTAATAGAAAATACATAATACATACAAAAATCAAACATATGTTTTCCTTATATTGAATAGAATTCAAAATTTTTATTGCATTTATAAACTATTAAAGACCATGTCATGTATATGTTATGCTTATCAAAGTAACTAACAAAATTAAAAGTAATTATTTATTAAAGGTTATGCCTGCTTTAATTTCTGCTATTTATTCAAGAAAAATGTATATGAATACTCAAACTTTTTTCTTTTTCAACAGAGTCATAACTTTTACTAATATAATGTATTTCTAAACAATAAATAAATTTAATAAAACATTTTCAAAATTTAATAATTAAGACTATAATCTCAGTAAGAAAGTAACTTGAGTAGTTTATGAAAATCCAAGCTTGATACTTGGTAGAATCAGGTTTGTAAAAATTATGTCTGTGTTGATCTGTCAAAATGTATCATTTGGAAAGACTGGCTATAAACCATAATTTATAATATAATAATTATGAATAAAAAGAGATTTGTGTTTCAATAAGTTGGGACTTCAACAATGTAATAAATATGTTCCAATATGACACCATGTCCTGACCACACTATCAGATTTCCATGGTCAGTGAACTGAAAAGTCAAAACCATAATTTATAATATAATAATTATGAATAAAAGGAGATTTATGTTTCAAAGAGTTGGACTTGAACAAAATAAAAAAAAAGAGAATGTTTCCATAGGACACCATGTCTAGCCATCAGATTTCCATTGTCAGTGATCTGAAAAATCTAGGTCAAAATCAAAATTTGGCATATATCTTAAAAAGGTTCAAATCATAAGTTTTAAGTTGATGTGACCAAAACTTCATTGAAGCTAATTTTAAACAAACCTTTAACTTGATATAGAACGTGCAAATGGATGCACACAAAGCGTAAAACATTATGTCCCCCTTCTTTTGTAGTCGAGGAATACCAAATAAAACAAAACATCTAGAGGTCCACATATGGTCTTCAATAATAGACAAGTGCCAAATATAATATATCAAGCTCTACATCCTCACTTGTTGAGAATAGTTATGAACAAATTTAACAGAGTTTTGAACCCAAATTTGAACTTGATCTGTGTTTGGTGGTGATAAGCAATGGTATAAGTTTCATAACATTTGGTTGAGACAAACTAAAGTTAGAGAACAGAAACCATCTTAGGGACGTACTGAAGGACAAGAATAAACCTTAATGTTTATGGCGGGGGCATAATAAAAAAAAGTTGTCGGACAACGTAATACCAGGCATGGGGCGAATTACATTGCAATGTAATGCATTATATTACAATTACTTTGACCAAACCATGCATTATATTACAATTACAATTACATGCATTTATCAAAGTAATGCATTATATTACAATTACTTTTGCAAAGTAATGCCTTGAATTACACATTACATTTGAAAATTTTATTAGTGAATAGAAAAATTAAACATTTTGAAAAACAACTACAAGTCACAAAAGATTCTAGCATATGCAGTAACTGTTCCATGAATTGAATATAAGTATACATGTAAAAAGTCTATTTAATTTGACTTTTACAATTTTTAATTATTTTAACTTAATGTTGACTTTACTTTTATAAATACATTTTTTGTTGTTTTTCTTTAAATTTTAAACGAAATATTTAATTACTGTGAATTACTTCCCTAATTATAAAATAAACATAGACCTTAATTAAAATTAACATATTCTTAATTAATCAAGAAATCTTAAATTTGGTTTAGTTAAAACTCCAACAATATGTTAAAGATGTTGTATGTGAAAAAAGTAATGACATGTAATGCCATGTAATGCATGAAATTACACAACTTTTTTCTAAAGAAATGCATTATATTACAATTACATGTAATGCACAAATTGCTGCATTACACATTACATGCAATTACTTGGAAAAATGTAATGCATTACCATGCATTACAATTACAAATTTGCATTACCCCATGCCTGCGTAATACACTACAAAATAAAATGTTATAACAACAATATCTATTATAAATATGTATAAATTCTATAAGTAAATACACAGATGGCAAAAAAGTAAATAGCCTCACACAACTACAATTCTACTTAAATACTCTAAGGCCACATAAAATTTAAATTTACTTTCTTAGGCCAGTTTTCATAATTTCAGATGAGGAAATAAGGTACTTTTTTATTTTTTCACCAAAATTATATCAAAATATCTGACATTTGTACAAGGCATGACTAATTCTCAGATTATTGCTGATTTTAAGATTTTTTTGTTCGTAAGTACAAATACTTGATAACGCAAGTGGGGGTCTCAGTGACTGCGTGTTTGAGTTTTTAAAATGATATCTCTGTATAAATAAATACATGGCATGGTGAGATGAGATTTGTACAGTTTATGCGGCTAAATTCTTGAGCTATATAAAAGAGATGTGTGAAACATTAATTATTAGTCAAGAATAACTATCACTTAAAAAATATCAAATTAGTAGTATTAGTAAAAGTGACACTAGTAGAATATCATTCCACTCCAGGTTAATGTAAAATACTCATGCTAACAAATAAATCTAACATACACAAATGAAATTTAAGAAGAAATTAGTATTTTTGAAACATGTTCAACTTGCATTCAGAAAAGATATTTTTACAACAGACTGATGGACAACACCTTTTTCAATACTACTATACATCATATACTGTAAACAAGACAATCAATCTTATTTTCAAATGCAGAAAATACAACTGAACTCACACATTATTTAAATAAATGGGGAATGTGTCCATGGGACACAGATGATGCCCCTGCTTGCATATCATATAAATTTATAAAGGGACATAACTGAAGAACGGTAAAAGTGATGCTACCCAAATTTGTACTTGATCTGAGTTTTGTGGTAATAAGTATTATGTATAAGTTTCATAACATTTGGTTGAGGCTAACTTAAGTTAGAGAACGGAAACGAAAAATTCAGCAATTTTTCCATATGTAAAGGGGCATATCTCTAGAACTGTTAAAATGACACCACCAAAATTCAAACTTGATCTGTATTTTGTGGTAATAAGCATCGTGTGTAAGTTTCATAACATTTGGTTGTGGCAAACTAAAGTTAGAGAATGTAAACAAAAAAATTCAGCAATTTTTCCATTTGTAAAGGGGCATAACTCTAGAACTGTTAAAGTGTGTGCCACCAATATTCAAACTTGATCTGTGTTTTGTGGTTATAACATTTTGTATAAGTTTCATAACATTTGGTTGAGGCAAACTTAAGTTAGAGAACAGAAACCAACTTTGGGACGTACGTACATACGGACGGACAAGGGTAAAACTTAATGCCCCCTCCGCAACGGCGGGGGCATAAAAAAAAGCTCATGTAAATATTCTTATCATGATTACTGAAAAATCAGAAATTTCTGTGATTCAATTATTATTGCAAAAATTGAGGCAGGATAGGTGTAGCAAAAATAAAAATTTGCATTTTAAATTTTGATAAAATTTACATTTAAAATTTTCATACCATTATATTTTACAGCATTCCCCGAAATCACAATAATTTAAATTAATCTCGCATTTGTGTCATTTTTCAAAAATCACAATTATAATAAATGCATGCAAACATTTCTGAATTAACAGTTTTTCAATGAGACCTTTATCTATGTCACATTAGGAAATTTCCCATTTCAGTCACCTTTTTATGAGTTGCATTAATAAATGATCAAATAATTGTTTACAGTATAAAAAAGAGACACCAAATATATAAGTATATAAGATAAGAAAATAAAACCAATATATAAAAGATAAGAAAATGTGACCAAATACCTTGAATAAATCTCAAACAATACAAGATAAGCATGCACTACATTTAATACATCTACAAGAAACAAAGTGAAGCCATGCAACACACTATGTTACCTCACGATCCCTCCTCTCTTGGTCCAGTCTCTTTTTTTCTAACCCTGCTCTCTTCTTATCTTCTTCTACTCTTCTTTGTTCTTCTTTCTGATCGTTCATTGATGGACAAAACATTTTTACATCAATTAACACTATTCAGTATATTGTAACCTTACCCTTTTGGGGTCCATTTTTTCAGCAAATATCCTGTGTTTTCATCAAGCAATTGATGGGGATGACAAGCATGTTTTCTTGTTTTTTTTTATTGTAGTACATGTACAATGTCTTTCATGTGATAAGGTTAAAGGTTAATGTGTAGATAAACTATAGGTAAGGTATCTTTTTTTATTAATGAAGGTAAATCTGGGAGAACTGTGCATAGCTTTGACTAGCAATAAACACTTTTGGAAATGGTTTTGGCTTTGTTGGTATTTTATTCAGGATACTTCCCAATAATTATGTGACAAAGAAAATGGATCCTTGCATAAGGGAGATAACTAAGGAATGTTTGAATATATCACAACATTGTACTGAATTTGGGAATCATGAAATGATATTACCTCTTTTTCTGCCCAGAACTGATCTCTCTGTTTTGTGTTTATATCTCTAGCTGCAACTGTTCTCTGATAAACTGATCCCTACAATAAGTAATCAAAATTGTATTCTAAAGCACATTAACTTTTTACATGAAGAAAAAATAATGTGACTTATACTTTATGGAAAGCTGATAAAATTATTACAGGTTATTTTAAGTGATTTGTGTATGTTAGATTTAAAATACTATTGGGGCTTTTCTTGGCTGGTTTGGTAATAAGCATCTAGACCATGTAGACCACAAATATAGAATTTTATTGACATTTCCATTGACAAAGATTATTCTGTACTGTTGTTAGTAATAATTTGGTTGGTGACTGTGTTAGATACAGGTGATTATTTTCTATAGGACATTGTCTCATTTTAAGGGGATTTTCTCCATGTCCTTGGTTATTTGTTATATGACCAATATTATATCAGGTTTAATTTCAAATTTTTCAAGGGTCAAAGTTTTATAAATGTACAAAGTAAGTTCTATTCAATAAGTTCAATCCATTTAAACATTATCATTGTTTGCAGTTGTTTCGACTGTTCAGTATTGTCAGAATCAATTTCATTTATTTGTTTTTCTTCCCAAGAACTAATGAATCCTTGGTTTACTTTAGATGTCTGTGAACCAGTCCAAATTGTATACAATAAAGTGCAAGTAGGTTTTTATATCACATTGTAAAACAAGATCAGAGTGGTAATCAACAAATCTTTAATTTATGGATATAATGGATTTTAACATTTTTGCTGCTTTTGGAACCTTTAAGAACAATTTAAGAAAAGGGTGTTTTTAATAGTGAACAGCGATAAATTCGGCTCTTATCAAAATGTCAAATTGCAAAAAAAGACTTAAGTTCCTATACATTTTTTGTATTTCATGAATACTTTAGGGTAGCCAATTTGGAAGTCATTTTGCCAATTCCCATTTTTCAATTGAATGGAAATTACCAAAGGTGTAGTAGTTAAATGCAAATAATATACTCTAATGAAATGTCATTTCCTTTATCAAACATGCAATCATAATCCCTACAGAAGATTATATGAAAAAAATAAGAAATGACAAACCACAGGTGTTGGACTATCAACAGGTTTTGGTTTTTCCTTATGGAAACTGTAGTTTGATCCTGAAGATTTTGCTACTTTCTTTGTAACATCATCTGGATCTATGTCTTCTTCTGTTCTGGCATTAATAACTACATGTATACCCTATAAAAAGGAACATTACAGGGGCATAAGCTACGAATTAGACAAAAAATTAAATTATGATTTTTTCCCCCCACATTTATAAAAGCGAAATATAGAACAAATATTTCACTCTAAGCAGTCAATTTCGTCAAAAAAAAACTAAAAATCATTGCTATATTATTGCAAGTCAATAATTCAACTTATTTGAATCCATATTCATGCAACCTTTTAATTTGACCTTTAGTGGAGATGGTGCACATGTGTTCATTGTGTAGTTCCTTCATTACAAAGAAAAGAATGTCAACATTGAAAAGTGAAACAAAGGAGCCACCAGGAATAACCATTTCCTTGACTGATTTTGCCAACAAAAAATGATTCTTATATAGGTAAAACGATGAGTTGCATATATTTTTAACCTATAACATGAAATCAAACAGACCAAGTATAGTCTGATTGCATGTGCTCGTTATCTAATTATATTTATATTTATGTTTACATCAGGTTATTTGACTGTCGGCAGTCTTTGGAGGTTATCTTGATGGATAATTAGATGGCGTCTGGTCTACAATACCTACAATATGCTGATACATTACAGTGAGTCCATGCATTGTTAATGGTTTCTTTTGGTCTTTTTGTAATTTGGATGTACCTTTTAGTATGCTGTAGTCATATTGGTTTTTGGTAAATTGTTTTGTCAAAAATTAGGCTGATAGTTTTCTCAATTGAATTATTTCATATTTTTCATGCCTTTTATAGCCGACCATACAGTATGTGTTTTCTCATTGTTGAAGGATGTATGGATGCCTATATTTGCTTACATCCACTTCATTTGAACTTTGGTGGATAGTTGTCTCATTGGCAATCATACCACAACTCCTTATTTTTACATAAATAAAATATGAGAATTTTGGTCAAATTAGTGAACATGAATTTGACAGCTAATACCCCTTTAAAAACTACATATATACCCTTTAAAAAAAAAATAGAGCATTCAAAACTACATGTATACCCTATAAAATAGAGCAATCACAACTATGTGTATGCCCTATAAAAAAGAGCATTGATAACTAATGTTTACTTAGAAAATAGAGCATTCACAACAAGTGTTTACCCTATATTTGAGCATTCACAACTATGTGTTTATCCTAGAAAAAGAGTATTGACAACTACATGTATACCCTACAAAATAAAGCTTTCACAACTGCATGTATACTCTAGAAAATAGAGCATTCACAACTATGTGCAAACCCTAAAAAATATTGCATTCACAAATATGTGTATGTGTTTTAAGGTATGATTAAGTGTTTTATGATTGGGTGGTAATGTAAAGATATATGTAGCTAACAAACATTTATTTGTGTGTATTGTGTTCAGTATTTATTCAGTTTTACCAAACATCTTTCTTACCCTGAAGAATTTCTGAATATCTGGTAAATGATTTGCACATTTAAACTTCATTGATTCTGGTGCTGCTTCACCTTGCTACAAAGAAAGTTATATAGAGTTATTGTCTGGCAGTACATAAAACAAAATCTCTAAAGAAGAATCATATTTCCTGGTCACTCAATGTCAAGGGTTTCTCTGTCAGAAGGAAATACATTTTAAAAATTAAATATTCTAAAATCAAATATCTTGGTCAGGGAGCCCTTCTCAAGAAAATAACAAGGAAAAAGTATATTTTAACAAATATTTTTTTTTATTTGATGCGTCTATTTGATTTGACTATCTAACATCATGGCATCTGTAAATACTTATAACCAATTATATCAAATGGAATCAGTTGAAATTTAAAAATAAAAATCTTCTAATTGAATTTAACAAATGTTTAAGTGACAGATATTTGGTATTACTGTGTAATCTTTCCACCTTGTAATGGTAATATTGACAGGTATAACATACATTCCTGGTAGAAGGTATGATAAGGTGATGACTTAACTATACTATAGCCTACAGCAAAGTGTTATATGTCATGTACTCTAAGTATACTATCTTGTACTCTTATAATGTAATCATAATGTATCATGTGTATAAAACACTCATTTAATCAAATGGCATAAATATGTCAATGATACTTTAATAAAAAGCAAGAAATGTTTTCATACTTAACGCAATATTTGTATACCTGTATACTGTCAAAGATACACTTATATATGTTATATATGGTTTAAACAAAAGATAAAAATTCGTACATAATGTGTTTTATTTCAGACATAAATGCAATATTTGTAAACCTGCATACTATCAGATACTTATATTTGATTAATATGCTTTAAAGAAAGCATAAAAATTTTATACAGGATATAATTATTTCTCAGACATAAATGAATTCTCAAAAAGAGGAATATTTCCTTAATGTTTTTGTTGAAAATTACAGGAAATGGGCAATTACAATTTAAGAGAGATACACAATTGTATATATTCTTACTTTCCATTCAGTTTATGGTTTCAGAATGCATAAAAAATGAAAGTGATTCAGAGATGCTGGGAATGAGTGCTTAGAGACGCATATCAACAGACTGGCATCTAGACAAAATCACACAGATCATGTAATAAAGTTACCAATCTGTGGTATAATGTTACCAATCTGTGGTATAATGTTATCTATTGTGTCTGATCTTACTGTTACCAATCTGTGGTATAATATTATCTATTGTGCCTGATCTTACTGTTGCCAATCTGTGGTATAATATTATCTATTGTGCCTGATCTTACTGTTGCCAATCTGTGGTATAATATTATCTATTGTGCCTGATCTTACTGTTGCCAATCTGTGGTATAATATTATCTATTGTGCCTGATCTTACTGTTACCAATCTGTGGTATAATATTATCTATTGTGCCTGATCTTACTGTTACCAATCTGTGGTATAATATTATCTATTGTGCCTGATCTTACTGTTGCCAATCTGTGGTATAATATTATCTATTGTGCCTGATCTTACTGTTGCCAATCTGTGGTATAATATTATCTATTGTGCCTGATCTTACTGTTGCCAATCTGTGGTATAATATTATCTATTGTGCCTGATCTTACTGTTGCCAATCTGTGGTATAATATTACCTATTGTGCCTGATCTTACTGTTGCCAATATTATCTATTGTGCCTGATCTTACTGTTACCAATCTGTGGTATAATATTATCTATTGTGCCTGATCTTACTGTTGCCAATCTGTGGTATAATATTATCTACTGTGCCTGATCTTACTGTTGCCAATCTGTGGTATAATTTTATCTATAGTGCTTGATATTACTGTTGCCAATCTGTTGTATAATATTATCTATTGTGCCTGATCTTACTGTTGTCAAACTGTGGTATAATATTACCTATTGTGCCTGATCTTACTGTTGCCAATCTGTGGCATAATATTATCTATTGTGCCTGATCTTACTGTTGCCAATCTGTGGCATAATATTATCTATTGTGCCTGATCTTACTGTTGCCAATCTGTGGTATAATATTACCTATTGTGCCTGATCTTACTGTTGCCAATATTATCTATTGTGCCTGATCTTACTGTTACCAATCTGTGGTATAATATTATCTATTGTGCCTGATCTTACTGTTGCCAATCTGTGGTATAATATTATCTATTGTGCCTGATCTTACTGTTGCCAATCTGTGGTATAATATTATCTATTGTGCCTGATCTTACTGTTGCCAATCTGTGGTATAATATTATCTATTGTGCCTGATCTTACTGTTGCCAATCTGTGGTATAATATTACCTATTGTGCCTGATCTTACTGTTGCCAATATTATCTATTGTGCCTGATCTTACTGTTACCAATCTGTGGTATAATATTATCTATAGTGCCTGATCTTACTGTTGCCAATCTGTGGTATAATATTATCTATTGTGCCTGATCTTACTGTTGTCAAACTGTGGTATAATATTACCTATTGTGCCTGATCTTACTGTTGCCAATCTGTGGCATAATATTATCTATTGTGCCTGATCTTACTGTTGCCAATCTGTGGCATAATATTATCTATTGTGACTGATCTTACTGTTGCCAATCTGTGGCATAATATTATCTATTGTGCCTGATCTTACTGTTGTCAATCTGTGGTATAATGTTATCTATTGTGCCTGATATTACTGTTGCCAATCTGTGGTATAATATTATTTATTGTGCCTGATCTTACTGTTGCCAATCTGCGGTATAATATTATCTATTGTGCCTGATCTTACTGTTGCCAATCTGTGGTATAATATTATCTATTGTGCCTGATCTTACTGTTGCCAATCTGTGGTATAATATTATCTATTGTGCCTGATCTTACTGTTGCCAATCTGTGGTATAATATTATCTATTGTGCCTGATCTTACTGTTGCCAATCTGTGGTATAATATTATCTATTGTGCCTGATCTTACTGTAATTTTATGGATGATCTGTACTACCGGTTACCAACTCCGGCTTCAAATACCAATTAAGACTGACTGTTCTGAAATAGCACAATAGTGCTGAATGCGGCATTAATTATATAAACACCAACCAATCAATCAATCAATACTAAGGGTTCCCTTTACTAGCGTGTTTTTTTTTTAGTATTGTATGGTATTTTGTCTGGCTTAAATTTTGTCCTACTTCCAAGTGTAAATATTCTAATATCATAGTGTAACATATGAATCCTAAAGGAGTTACCTGCTGAGTTCATGAATACATAATCTGGTAGATTTTTTCTAGGGTTCAGGATGAGACACGTACCCAGTTCATAAATGCATAGTTTAGTAGATTTCTTAGAGGGTCCAACAAACATTGTAAGATACCTACCCAGTTAATGAGTACATATTTTGGTAGATTTGTATTAGGATCCAGTATTTTGCAGTAAGCATACATGATCTTGGAACCATTCAGACTATCAGACATCTCTTCAAGTCCACCTTCTACAATTTACAATTAAGTTATTTTTACAATCAATAAAATTCAGTCTAAAATAACAGTTTGCAATTTTCTTACAACTCCATTCCATCATATAAGTACAACAACAACAACAATACTTTAAGAGGGTTACACAGTTAGCTATATATAACCAATCATCCCTGAGGCCCTCATCTTAGAAAAAGCATAAACAAAAATGCAAACATATACATGGCATACATTAGTATAAAAGTCAAGTATAATGATAATGTTCAATACAACTGCATAAAATGTTATGAACAAAAAAACATAATGAAATAATTAATATTCAATATTTTTTCAACTGGTTGATTTCAATAAATGATCTGTATTTGAAAGAAATAACATTTGTAATATTGCGTAAAGATATTGGCAAATTGTTCCACAAGAATGGTCCAGAATACATAAAAGATTTCTTGAACAATTCTATTTTTTGGTTTAGGGAGTATGAGGTTTTCTTGAACAGCATTTTTCAAGGAGTATGGATTTCTGTTTGAACATAATGAAACTTGCTAGTAAGATATGATGGGGCATCATTATTCAATTTATTGATGCACCTAAATGTCATCACAAACTTGTGATAGTTTATTCTCTGTTCAATGCATCCAGTTTATGTGTTTGAATAAGGGCTCAGAAGAAGCGAAAGGGTCTATTTCTAGTATTATTCAAGCAGCTCTCTTTTGTAATTTTAATATCCAATTTAAACCCTCACTGCTACAACTACTCCACACTGTACAACAATAATCAATTAGTGGTAAGATATAACCATTATAGAATACATGTATAGTACACAATACATGTATTTAGTACACATATATTCACTAAGGTATCTGGTTATTGGTCAACTTTAGTTGTAGGGTTTCTGCCCCATTTACATTTACACAAATCTCCATTTGATTCATATAACATGTATAAGGGAGAATGTTTAAGATATTTTTTTTTCATATTCAATGGCCTTCTTTTCTTATGATTGTATCATCAAGCTTAACAACATAGTTATATTAAGTTAACATACATTGTAGCAATGCTTGGACAAGTTTTTATTGTTTTATCTTCTAATTTAAGGTTATAAATGTGTGTATTTTGAAACTGATATTTTTAATGTTAATACAAAGTAGCATTGTTAATTTTACTCTATAAATAGTATACCTCCAGTTTCCACAACTTTGAGGACTGGTGTCTGAACTTCATATCCAAAAACTGCCCTGCAAATTCAATTTGTTCATATGAGTAATGATAAATCTAATAAAATATACATATGTTAATATCAAATTTCATTGGCTATTTTTACCAATTTGTAGATCTTGTCAGGGTGATCATTTTTGCTCTTAACAATGGTTTACAGTTTTTCTTTATCCACCAAAGTTTTCAAAAAATAAAATCAAATTGAATAAAAATCATTATTAATGGCAAGAACTCCTTAAAAGAGTTTGCATCTACATGTGCTTGGTTCTGATTTAATCTTGAACTATTTCCTTGATCTTGAAGGATACATGTTAGCTGAAGAGATTGACTACTTGGCAAATTTTTAACATTATGATTGTCTCAGACTAAAGGTAAGAATCATATTGTTAGACTACAAAAATAGCTATTGATAGTCTAATGTGCACCATATTTATCTTGTATGTTCAGCATGTTCAGTAAACTGTAAAATTGAAATAGTGATAGGTTTCAGGTAGAAGCCCTCTTGTTGGTTGCTATTGTTGTAACATGTATCGTATGAACACAAATTCCTTCATTTTTCGAACCCAGGGCCTAATCTAGGATTTTGAAGAGGGAGAAGTGATTTCTCCTTCCATGAGAGAGAAGGGAGAAGTGGTCAACTTCTTGGAGACGTGAGATTCCATTACCGTTTCGGTTGCATCGTGTTTTCAAGCTTATCACTAAGGAAATTGTTTTATATTCAATAAAAGATGTACTTGCAGTTTTTTCATATGTTATTGTACACAATGTATATATAGAAAGTTCTTAATAAAAAGGTTTAAACAATATATAGTTGTTATTTATTTATGGATACCATAATGTGTTCTAAATAAAATTTGTTGATTGGGACATGAGGGAGTAGCCTAGTAATATTATCAAGATTATGATGCATTAAATTCATGTGCATCTGCCTCAATTTATTTTTAAAACTCCAGAAAAATATGATGAATTTCACATGACTGGGAATTTAATTTATATCACCACTTGTCATTGTTTTGTAAAACATTATTGAATGTCCAGGACATTTATGTTAGTTGTAGTAAATTGAGATTATCGTTAAAGATTGTAGACATTGTAAGTCTATAAATGAAAGTATCTTTCAATCTCAAGTTAATTATCGGATAAAGAGCTAATTTCTATCATTTTTTAAAAATATCATCCATATCAACGAAGTGGTCATGAGAAAAAATCCACTGCTGATCACAATCTGGTCGAGTGTCGTACGTTTGCAATCACATTAGGGAGCTACCATTTGATTTTTATGGGGGGGCTAGGATGAAAAATTTTGTCCTGCTTTATTTTTTTAGTTGTAATCTCTGTCCTGCCTTTTTATTTTTTACTCTATTCGGTCCTGCCTTTTTTTTACTAGTTTATCCTGATTTTTTTTACACAAATTGTCATCCTGCCTTTTTTTTATACCAAGTTGCTCATCCTGCCTTTTTTTTTACTCAAAACTCCTGTCCTGGCTATTTTTTTCAAATTTCATCCTAGCCCCCCCATAAAAATCAAATGGTAGCTCCCTTTTCCATCAGCTGTCTTTCTACCTTTTATATTTCTATTTTTATTCAATGAGTATAATAAATCTACCGTTAATTCACACCCTTTACCAACCGAATAGTAAAATTGATCGACTCGTGTAGGTAATAAAAATAAAACAAATCAGCTGAGTGATTACGCAACATCCTCAGATGAAAATCATAACTTAAACAGACGGTCAGTTTTCCGTTTGAACAGTTTTGAAAGTTAAACATGTTATATCCGAGGATGTTCAAAGTCGCCGTTGTATTTATTTAATTTGATCGTTTACAGTATTAGTCCTGGGTCGTTTCGAAAATCTCGAGTTTCCTTGTCAGCCGCCATTTTTTTTACCTGTGAGACTTGTAAATCACAAGTTTTATCGATTTTGATAGCGATTTGACTTCGCTATGAAGTCAGTCGGCCGGCGAGATTTAGCGATTTTCAAAATTCTTTGGCGACTTAAATCGTCATTTCGCCGTCAAGATTATGGCCTGTTCGAACCAACCCTCAAGCTGAAAAGGTACAGTGGAATCCCTGTAACACTCCATATTAGGATTAATGGAGATGTGTCACAAACTTGTATACAACCCACACCACCAAGGAAGTATTAGGACACCGGAGAGTTTGTTATTATGGTGGAAGGAAAGAAATACCAACCTCTACCAACTGAGCTAAAGGCGTACTTAACTAGCACAGCTAATGGAGGGCGGTTATAAGTCTACTATTAGTAGAAAGTTAAGGGAAGCACCACTAAACTCCCCCACCTCAAAGAATCATTGTACTATATTGATGATATCTTCAACATTTCTCCTGACTAGGTTTCGTATTATTTTTTCTAACTGTGTTTTTTTTTTGTGTGCACCAATTTTGTAACAGGAGACCATGATTTGTCTATCAAAAAAATTAATTACTGTACCAGCCGATATTTGAACCCATGACCCCTGGCATAGTAGGCCATAGTTCTACCAACTGAGATAGAGGAGTACTTCACTAGTGCAGCTAATGGAGGGCAATTAATTGCCAGTTATAAATCTACTAGGTAAAGGGAAACACTGCTACACATAAAAATACAGACAGAATCGTAGCTCTAATTATCCTGTACATGTTTGATTTGTCTACATATTACTAAGAAATATCAAAAGGACATTAAACCGTACAATTCAAAGGCAAATTTCAATTCGGACATTGTATGAATAATATAATGAATCATCCGTCACTTCACGCGGAAGTCTTTTGAAAATTTATACCGATATTTTTGTGTAATTGCATAGATTAGTAAACCTCTTTTAACAAAACATATAAAAGTGTAAATGCTCACCAATCTACATTATTTTTATCACTGACTACTTCGTTATAAGCCTGTAAAAGGGCTTCTTTATTTTTCCGCAAATCTATCGCCATCCTCCCTTTGCAGGTGCTTGTGTAATACGTCACCAATTCTGTGCTAACCGACGGAAGTAGTTATTGGCACTTTTTGATTCTGACAATATGAAAGTCTTTCAAAATGTTTAGTTCATCTTTTTTCAAATTGTTCCTTTTAAGAAATATTTTCAAAATTTGCATAAACAATATCGTTTTGTATTAATACAAATCATCATAGATCTCAAATTTGAAATTTTATTGAATGATAATGCAGTGAGTGAACCGGAGTAAACCTAATTACAGAACAATTTGATATTAAGAATCAAGCTAAGCCTTTGTTGATAAATAATCAGACAACGAAATAAACAACGTTCTGTTTGAACACGTATATATTTGATGCGAAGGGACAAAGATGGCAGGTTTTATTTCACACATTATCTTTTAAAAAATACTGATTAACTCAGTATCTGATCAGATTATTTTGAATCTTTTGTTACATTATAGGTGGTCACATCTGGTGATGAGTCACCTGAAAGCAGAGGGAAAAACGCATTCAAGCGTAAATTTATTTCCATATTTACATGTGATAAATAAATGTATAGTTTAATGGCAATATTAATTGTCTTTAATTGATAAAAAACGTACACCTTTTTTGAATAAAATAAATTTTGAGATTTACACATAAAGATGTTTCTGTTATGAAAAATGAAGACTTCCTCATACACCTTATCGCTATTTGGAAATCTGCTCTGCTTGACATGAGAATCTGCGCCGCTTGAAATTTTGATGTCATACAACAATCTCCCCAGGCCGATATGACGCTGAGGTCCCGCAGCGCCTTAATTGACCACTGTCCCTTAATACTTGATCCCGCAGCGTGTTAATTTTCATATTTTCAATTATGAAATGTTTGATAACTTTTGTAAAGTTAAAGATCGCCACTGAGATGAAAATCAATACGACACCAAATTACGCAATTATTGATTGACTCCTCCCTTTACCTGTATTTGCCTTATCAGATCATGTAATTCTATAGATTATCATCAAATAGATAAATGTTTTTCTTGGATACTCTTTTTCAGTGTTTCAGGGTTAGAATTGCCCATTATTCTCTATTCTGTCAACACCATCCAGACCCTGCTATATTCCTTTTGATAACACAAGGTACCCAACTCGTGTTTTTGAGAAAGGAAACTGAGTTGTGAACTTTGGCTTTATTTGGATTCCACAATCAACTAATCCACTGAAACAGTGAAACATGTTACTTCGTCATTGTGTATGAAATTATTAACAAAATAGTGTATGACATGCCTACAATGTACCTCTTGTTCGAATAATTTTTTTAGTAGGTCAACTGTCAACATTTTTTCTTCTTGTAGTGAAATTGCAATATTAAGCTGTTTATTCTGTTTGTGTAAGATCATGTTAACCCACATGAAGGAAGACTGATAGACTTAATGTATGACTGTTGTACATTGTATATACAAAGGATATACCAATATCGGGGTTTTTTTTGCGTGTGTTTGATTTTCACTTTGTTCGCTGTACCTAAAGAATTGCGAAAATTTGACCCCTAGTAAATTTCCCTGCATATTCCTAGATATTTAGCTGTTTAAAAGTTTCATGCATCATACTGTTAATTATCGAGTTTACACGAAATTGATATGTAAACTCATAAAAGACATTGAACAAAACTCATTTCACCCTAAAGGTGAAATTACATTATATATAAAATCAGTCTTTTGTGTTGATTAACAGATCACAAGAGTGTGCATTATTAATTAAGATTTCTGTTTTCATAATAATTAAATTGACTACTGAGTCTACATGTCATACCTTTTGACAACACAGCAATCAGTGACATTTTCAAAAATGTTAATTAGCGACGATGTATAGATTGTTGTTATAACCTGAACATTTTGCATATAACGTAAAAATAGAAATAAAATAAAACACTTACTTTGATATTTTCACAAATTTGCTTTATAAATGCTCTGTTATACCATCGCAAAAATGATCAAAACCTTCAATTTTAGCATGCCGCAATGTGCATAATTTAAACGATTATTGAAAGATCTCTGAATTATTTATGTGTATTTTAGTTTGTAGTACTTGTATTTATTTGTAAACAATTATCTGTCAGTCAATCAAGTTAATGTTGTTTATATATTTTACAATACATTACGGTGATTTTTTCGCGTGTATTTTCCCATTCAGTAAAAATTATGAAAAAACCCTGATATAAGGTATATCAGGTTCCAGGCATATTAAAGTACTTATTATACATCCTTGGCTTTCCAATGTTTTGGTTGGAGCGTTCCTGATGTAGTTTAATCCAGATAAGCCCTTCAGTCACCCACCAAGTTGGAGCGTTCCTGATGTAGTTTAATCCAGATAAGCCCTTCAGTCAGCCACCAAGTTGGAGCGTTCCTGGTGTAGTTTAATCCAGATAAGCCCATCAGTCACCCACCAAGTTGGAGCGTTCCTGATGTAGTTTAATCCAGATAAGCCCTTCAGTCACCCACCAAGTTGGAGCGTTCCTGATGTAGTTTAATCCAGATAAGCCCTTCAGTCAGCCACCAAGTTGGAGCGTTCCTGGTGTAGTTTAATCCAGATAAGCCCTTCAGTCACCCACCAAGTTGGAGCGTTCCTGATGTAGTTTAATCCAGATAAGCCCTTCAGTCACCCACCAAGTTGTAGCGTTCCTGATGTAGTTTAATCCAGATAAGCCCTTCAGTCACCCACCAAGTTGAAGCGTTCCTGATGTAGTTTAATCCAGATAAGCCCTTCAGTCACCCACCAAATTGGAGTGTTCCTAAAGTAGTTTAATCCAGATAAGCCCTTCAGTCACCCACCAAGATGGAGCATTCCTGATGTTCCTGATGTTGTTTAATCCAGATAACATGGATAAGCCTTTCAGTCACCCACCAAATTGGAGTGTTCCTAAAGTAGTTTAATCCAGATAAGCCCTTCAGTCACCCACCAAGTTGGAGCGTTCCTGATGTTCCTGATGTTGTTTAATCCAGATAACATGGATAAGCCTTTCAGTCACCCACCAAATTGGAGTGTTCCTAAAGTAGTTTAATCCAGATAAGCCCTTCAGTCACCCACCAAATTTATAAAATGCTATTTTTAATTGGTGTTAGATCTTTTAAAATGATATAAAGGTAGACAGGTAGATTTAAGCTATATGATTGATTGTTGGTTGCTTAACGTCCAGTGGCAAATATTTCATGCATATTCAGGACGAGAACAAGTTCACAATAATAGATACAATAGGTAGGTACTGTAATAGATTAAGGGATTAAGGTCGGAGAAATTTAGACTGCCACGGGAAATGAGGGTATATTGGATAGGGATAGAAATTTAGCCTTGCAACAGGTCACCTACGGACCCCTCAAAGAGTTGTTGCAAGGGTTCTTAACGTGCAAAGAGCGTGGCACTCTCTTTACACGAGGCATCGGATTTAACGTCCCCATTCTAACCGGACGTGGCTGCAAATTTGTACATCCCGCACAGCCATACGGACGCCCCACTTTGACGATGGTTTTACCACCGGTCGGAGGAAGACCAATGGTGACCATACTTCTATTCCCCAGTCACCCTTGGGGATTTAAGCTATATGTACTTTAGAATAAAAAAACATAAAAGTAATATTGAAATCCATGGACACATTTTTGTTTTTCTTTAGATTATACATATGGCACAATAATAAAAATACATAACACTGTACATGAGATTTATCATGTTAATGTAAATCAAAACATTAAATCAACTTAATCCAAATGATCCCTGAAAAGTTGTTTTTCATTTACATTTTTATAACATTGACAAGAAGGTTCAAAGTTTTTTTTAACGCTCTTTAAATTTTTAACTTGTGTAAGAGCATAAAACTGTCTTCAGAAAATTGAAGCCTGATTAAAAGTTTCAGCCTACATGTATGATGTTTGTTTTAAGAAAGCATCTAATTTTAAGTGACATCAGTACAAATATTATGATGTCACTTATGATTTTTTTCAGAAACAAGTGACATACATGTAAGAACAAACATTATGACACTAAACAAAAAAAAATTTGAATTCTTTTACTTTCTAATTTTATGTAAGGTATACAATTTTTGCACTTAAATGCAACCACGTACTTAATGTTCACTCAAGTACAAAATGTAACACTCCATGAAGTCATTGAGACACACAGTAATTAGTGTTCAATCATTTTTGCTTCTTTCATTGACAGATTTAACAAGATAAATATATGACCAATAAAATGGTTCAGACAGCTAATTTACCAAAAGATAATTATGAGTTTGTGAAATGTGTGGTGGTCGGTGATGGTGGTGTTGGTAAAACATGTCTGACATGTGCCTGGTCAGTTGGCACTACATACAAGCTTGAAAGTCTGGTCAAGTCACATGTATCTACAGTGTTTGCTATTGATCATTTCATCAAAGACAAACAGGTATGTTGTTCTGTAATGACAAAGGAGAAGGTATTGGGTCTGCAAACTTGAATAGAAAATTAAATGTGATTGGTTCCATTATAGGTTACATTTTGAAGCTGCTAAATATTGACCATTGTGAAAAAGAAAACACATGTATTATGCGGTTGCAATTTGACTGTGAGGTCATTGAAGTGATGTAACACTGCACTGTATATACATTTAATCAATTCTAGGAACAAACAAGGCTAACTTCAGGAAAATGCTTAAATTAGTAAAGAGCACACACACCACCCAAAACAGTTTTTGTCACCTATCAGATATACAAAATATTTGATTAAACATGATTGTTTAACATTTTTTGTACATGTAGGTTTCTAACAGATCTTGGTGTAATTGTTTAAAATTTTGTATAGGTATCTTACAAAGATTGGTATAATTGTTTTTAAAATATTTTGTATAGGTATCTGACAGATCTTGGTGTAATGTGGATGGGGTACCAGTTTGTTTACATCTCTGGGATACATTCGGTTACCATGACAAAGATAGAGGATTTGCTTATAAAGGGTATGTTTTGGAAAAAATTATCGAGAGAGGAAAAATAATAAATTATGATAGATTTGAAATTAAAATTCAACACATCTTACAAAAGATTCACAATTCAAGAAATCAAAATATATACATAAAGTTCTATTGAACTTAGACTTGTGGAATGTAAATAAAAGGATATTTGGAGTATATAGCAATGAAACAGGATACCAAGAACACAAATTAACCATAATTCAACAATGGACAAATGATAAACAAGCAATTGTTGACTTTAATTTGGTATAAGAGGGCCTATCAATGCCCTATTTCAGCAAAGGACAAGGTTTACTTATGGCACAATATGGCCTTAAATATCACCTTTATCATAAAACACCAAAAAGGTCACAACTTGGTTCGTAAATGGGTGTATTTTAAAAGCCTTAATGTTAAATTAATCAGTTCTTTTTATAAAAGTACATTATATTCTCTAAAGTAAGCCCATTTTGGAAATTTTGTCAAAATATGATGATTTTGTGCAATTTTCAGACCTAAAAGCTTTAGGAAAACCTTGGCCGCCACCTACAGTACGGGTAGAGACTTATTATTATGGATGTCTTAATCCGTCTAGATGTCAGACTGGTCGGACAGTTGTCTCAGTGTAATTAACACCTGCTGTGATATTAACCTGTACAATATCCGAGTGGAAGGTCGCAAATCAATCTGTACCAGCTTGATTAGAATTAAATTTTACCTGTACAGATATTTTAGTATTTATGGAGGATAGATAATAAATGTAAAATATTGTTTTGTATTCAAAGAAAAAATTACAATAAAAATAAAAATTTAATATGAATATGGGATCAACTTTTTTTTAACTTGAAAATGAAAGAAAGACAATTTTTAACAATGTACTGTAAAAATGTGTTGCCAACTATAACAATTGTGTTTGTGCCAATAAACTATTTGTATTTGTAAACCGTAAATATTTCATTTTATTCAAAATAATAACAACCAGGACTGTTTTCAATCGAAGTTTTAATCAAAATGTTGAGACATCAATCCCGTAAATTATACGAGTTTTCGTTGATGGTTACAATATTTCCCCCTTTTAACGTCCTGTTCCTTTATGTTATTAATAGAAACACAATTTTAAGTATAAGGCCAACATATCATTTTATAAAGTATATAAACAAATTGAATATAGGCATTGTGAATAAACTGTTATTTTCCTTTCGATACCACGTTCCCCGTCGGAGCCTCTATGCTATTCATACCTGTCAATCATTTCTCGCAAGTAAAACAATTTGGTCAGCCAGATCATCTGTGCTTTCTATTTTGACATATATTTCCTGTTAATCTCTTTGAAACAATTGTTTTTTTTAACAATATTTGTAACGCCGTGATCATCTTTCGATTCCTAGTTTTTATATAAAAAAAACTTTTCATATGCACGTCAATATTCTATGACCCAGCATTATTTTAAATTTTGTTTGTTAATAAATTTACATATAATGGAAATAACAGATTTGTTGACACTCGTTGTATTATAACAAAGATATTGCCTTTCTATTTCCATGTTTGAAATTTTAATGAAAATCATGTTTTTTATAAACATATTTTATGAATTGTGTCAATCAATACACGAAGATCAAAGTTTTACACTATTCATGATCAGCCGTCTTTACTTTTGCGTCGTATTTCTAGCCATTCTCTAAAGCTCGTGCAGTCAGTAAGATTTTGTAAATCGATGTCGGCAGTTTAAATTGTATAATTCCCGAACTTTAAAGGAGGTGTCCTAATAAATTATTTAAATAGGAATCTTGGTGTTGACTGATAAATATAATAAATAAAATAGTTAAAGAAGACTAAAGCTTGTTTTGTTTATAATTACAAGGATTAAATTTTCTGTTCTGGTAAATCAATTATTAATGGATCTCGATCAAGAGCCTCAAAACTAACGCACAATACTGCCAATCATTACGTATCAAATTAAATCATGAATAGATTTTCCCACGGTCGGTCAGTAAGGTCATCTGTGTTAACTGTTACGATATTTCCCGCCATATGAAAATCACGTGCATTTGACAAAATTAATCCCAGCTATTTTTAGCATTCAACATTGTATTGTGAGTGAAGTCAAGTTCAAAGTTCAACCGCATGCTATTGATCACTGATATGTGTATCATGGAATTGTCTTTTCACGGCAAATATTTTTTTTAGATTGGTGTCAAAAATACAACATACAAGTTAACATGCATTGTGCGTAAATTAATATTATGCAATTAAGAGTCAATGCAGCACCATAAAATTATTTAAATAGGAGTAATTGCATTTCTTTAGACTACAAATCATAGTAAATATTTAATTAACTGGTCATCAAACGATTGAATGCTTCTAGTTTTAATGTCCATTCATGTCAGTGGCAATTATTTCATGCATATTTAACAAACACAGAAATATCAAAATAAACCTAATTCCCGAGAAGAATCATTATCTTCTTCTAGTGTTATTATTTACGTACTACTTTAGTTATATATCACCAACTTTCGGACAATATTTGTTTACAGTAAAAAGTAAATTCACAATTATAAAGAATCACCAAACTACTAGTATACAAGTATTGCTTACTGTAATTATTTTTATTTCAGAACTGACCCAACGCAGACTGAAAATTAAATACAAATGTAGTGTTGTCAAACTAAAACGTATGCAGCAGCACTTTGCACATCATTCTGCTAATCAATGGGTTTACGTGGAAAATAAAACAGTAAAACAAAAATAACCTTCCAGAAATAAAAAAGAAAATATTTTAAAAACTGTATGCCAACAAATACGAAAAAGATACATAACAAAAAAATCAAGGGAACATAGAAAATAATATTTTGAGGAATATAAACAGCATTTGAAATATAAAAAGCCATACCGGGTAATTAAAAAAATAGGCTATTTTTATTAAAACAAAGTTGTCTCCAGTACGTCACCTGTAAAAATATTTTATGTCAAATACGATGTAGAACTAATCAATAAAGTGACTGATAGGTTTAAATCACAGGTAACCTGATTCTGAAATCAGTGAAGCGTAATAATCTAGTATTACGGATTGAGATGAAAGGACAATTATATTACCGTTCACACCTGGATCTGTTGATTAATGACTTATTATTAATAACTACCTACCATAAAAAAGTCGGATTATTCATTTCCGACATGTCCCAGTCCGTTATTTATAGTAATAAGTCTCTACCCGTACTGTACAATCCAAAATGTTTTTTAACCAAAAGATTCCAATTTTGATATAGAATTCATCAATATAAAAACTTTTGGGATCATGGATGGCGGCTAAGGTTAATTATGCCAAAAACAATTAAAATTATGGACAAATTTACCAAAATTGACTTTAAAATACAAATAATGTTTATTTAAGGGGTCATAGCTTCATAAATTTTAATGGAAGGTGCCAAAAAAATGTATTTTTGTCATAATAGTATTATCACAAGTATTTCTATGTGAAATGTGTAGTATTTTGGTATGATTAAAAAAACATCAAAATCTTAGGGCCAATTCTAGCCCTTCGAGAACATCCTCCTTTGTAAATTGAAATGCATGAACATTCATGATATCAAATCTGTAATGATAGAAGTGTTACAAACTTCCTAAAGCAAGAAGACTTGGTTAACAAAGTGATCCTTATAGTTTGTTGCAGCTGGATGAAACACATAGATAACAGGGCTAATAATGTTTGCCAATTATTTTATACATGGGAGATCATTTTGTGCACTTGCTTTGGTCTACAATGAAGCGATTGTCTACACATAATCTTTATACAATCCAATTATTGTGGTTAGATTAATTGTTCAATCAAACATTGTAATACATGGATAAAGGATTTTTTTCAGGTCATCTCCAAGGTTTAAATAGAATTGGAATATCAGGTTTTACAGAAAAATTTGGATTACACTAACCCAAAGTTAAATAGGGAAATTTCTACATACTGTAAATTCAGAAATTATTGCGAATAACGCGACTGGATGAGGATCGCAGTAATAAGAACTCGCATTCTGAAATCTGATACATATATCTTTATGCAGATTTTCCTGAAATCACAATAATCAATCTCACATTTTTGTCCATTCTTCTAATATTGCAATAATAAATGCACTCATTAATTTCTGAATTTACAGTATTTTCCTACGTTTTTCCTGCACTTTATGCAAAAAAATCAATATATAAGCGCCAATTGTTCTTTCAGTCATTTCAATATTAAACAACAATTAACCAAAGAATAATATAGATAACTCAAACTTGAGGGATTATATCAAATTTACTTTCTGTCTTTTTATTTACAGGGCAGATGTGGTTTTGCTTTGCTTCAGTGTTGTCAAACCTTCATCATTAGACAGTGTTATTAGATTTTGGGTTTCAGAGATAAAGTCAAAAAGTAGCACAACACCTATAGTGCTGGTTGGTACCCAGGCTGATATGAGATACAATTGTTATGATGATGGCTACAAAGCTATGGACAAAGGTCTGGTATACAAGTAAGTTTTGTGTGATGTTGAAGGTTAAAGTAAATAAATTACTATATTGTAACTTGTAATACATTCTCTTGATATGGATAGATTATTAACTATATTGGAGAATATCTATGTTCTGATGTTGATAATATGTGTGTCCAATTATTTCTGTAAACCTACAGTACAGTCTTCATTAATAATATGAAAAATAATCTCATTGATAACTATACTGGATATACAAAAACTGTGTCTAACAAAAGAAGATCAGCAAGAAGAGAATTTTAGCCCAAACAGCTTCCGTCTAACCTAAATAGTCTTGTTGCATTTTATCAATTTTATGCGAGAAGTCCTGGTGAGGAATACAGGCTTCTTGGATCTTTGAGTTGTTATTTTTTAAAAACAAATAGTTTTTTTTTATTTTTCAGTTAATTTCATTTGAAACACCAGCATTTAGATATTAAAATGTCTGTTGTTACAATGTAGTTTCATGTAGTAAAGTAAATTAAAAAAAAATATGTATCACGCTTGACTATGTTTTGAGTGAGAAAAAGATAAATGTCTCATTTGGTAATTTGCCATAACTCCTTCAGCTAAAGACAGTATTTTAATGATTTTTTTCCCTTGTTTACCTAGACAAATATATATATATATATATAATACCATATGATCCATTTTTGATTTTGTCATATAAAGCATATATCATAATGTATATTTTTTTTAACAAAAATTAAGACACCTTCAATAAACCCAGACCATTGCACCAAAAATTCAATGAATGTATTTATGCAACATTTAAAATCATTTTTTTATCATGCCATAGTGTTCTTTATTAAAATGAATATAACCAATAGCAAAGGTTATAAATAATGACAATGATTATAATCAGTGACCGCTCTGGGCTTCGCCAATGTTGCAAATTTTTCAATTCATCTGGCAACAAAATACCTCTGCAGGCGATATTTTTAGAGCCAAGATTTCTTTTCTTGACTGTATTAATGGTAATAATATTGATCGTCATTTAAATTGGTAAAATAAAAAAAATAAATTGTCCGAAATTTTGCCTGGCGACAAGTTTGTGACTTTGTTTACGACCCTAGCTAATCAATGGTCACAACAGGTGTCATGATCTGTTGTTACAGGTAACCCACTTATCCAATGCGTCATTAATGATCATCAAAATAATCAAACAGAATCGGTCAGTAGGCATCAGTCATTTCATAATGAAGAAACTTTCATTTACAATTTGCAACGTTTACCATAGTTTCATGATGAAAATGTAATTGACAGAAACACGAAAACCATAAAAATCTTATTAAAAACATCGTTTGACTTGTATTCCGTTAAAAATGTTAAAATCAGACGTATTTTTTCTTTGCCTGCCATCACTTTTAACAAAACTGGCCTCCATTGATCGTATTCACTTGTACTGTGTATAGTCCTCTGAAGAAGGAGGACACCTGAATACAAGAAAGATAACTCAATTTTATTTTTGCCTAGTAGTGAGATACCTATTTAAAATCTGTCTACATACTTCTAACTTTAAGACTTATAGGTTTAGGAGGTCTTTTGAGTTATGGGCAAAGTTAAGAGGTTCTTGGTAACTGGTTTGGATAGGGGCTTGTGCCTTCATTTTCTGTATTCTTTATTTTTTATACAAATTTTCTCTTCTCTGTATATTTAAGCAGCCATTTTTCTCTCTTCTTCATTTTTTCTATTCTTTACTTCTAATTATAAAACATTTCCTCTATTCTGTAGCATATACAGAACATAAGCTAATTATAAGGACAGGGACATTGATCAATATTTTGTTTTAATCTTCATTATTATATTTTTATTTGTATAGTAATGAAATACTGACAGAGAAAATAAAAGTACACATGTTGTTTTCATGTATTTAACTCTATGCAATAACTACCTTAGGTTATCAGGTTAAGCTACTACCCAAGAAAGGTAAGATTAAAGCCCTCAAAATTCTAGCATTAACCCTGGTCTCAGTGAATCTGTTTGTATTGTTCTTTTAGTTTACAGAAAGGAAGAAAAAACATAAAATAACAGGGCAATACATTAGCATGATTAGTATTAATAAATGACAATGATTATAATAAATGACAATGATTGTAATAAATGAGAGGTTATGTTGAATGCAGCTATTGCTTATTTATTAAAAAAAGCCAAATCTTTGAACTTTCAGGGAAGTAAAACCAGAAGACATTATTTTACCAGAAAAAGGGAGAACGGTGGCAAAGCAGATAGGTGCACCATACTATGAAACAAGTATTTTAACACATCATGGTGTGGATGATGTCTTTTTTAATGTAATCAGGGCAGCCATGATTGAAAGAAGAAAGATCAAATTTTGGAGTCCACAACTTCGCAGAATAAAATATCCACTTATCCAAAAGCCAATTGAATGGCCAATGCGATTGTTTCCAGAGATAAAAGTCCCTGAGAGTACAATAAATGAAGAACTTGCTGAGATTCTTACCAGACAAAATGTTGGAGATATGTTGGTTAGTGTTCGGGATGTCTGTTTTAGAGCTGATAGGGTAATACTGGCTTCCTCGTGTCAAATGATTGAAGACATTTTAATGGCAGAATATTGTAGTCATGACAACTCTGATGTAAAAAATTCTGAGACATCACAGCATACAGCATATTGCCATGACATAAAATTGCCAGGATTTGAAACTATTGAATACAAGCAGTGTAAAGACCCATTTAATAGGATGCATGGAGAAATGATAACTGTATTAACCATGGCAAGGGAAATAACTCCTCTTGCTTTACAATATGTTTTAGAGTATTTATATACTGGCACAGCAAAAGAAGACTTTGACATCTTACCAGAAGCCAAAAAAGCTGCTGAGCTTCTCCAATTAAAGGATTTGCTTTTACAGATTTCTAATCTTCAATCAAATGAAGGTTTCCTGAATTCAAAGTTACAAAAACAATTTAGGCATGATAGGTGTGAGGTGTTAAAGAGATTAGCAATTGGGAAAGGAGCATTTACAGGTAACAATTGACGTTATTTAAATACAATACTCTTAGAAATTTTATTGTGTTCAAACAAACTCACTACATTTTGGTTTAGGTTCTAACTTTCAAAGCCGGATTTAAGTAAAAAATTATTAGATTAGGTCAAGAAAAGTTTTATCCAACATAAAAAGTACAAAATAAGAAAAATACAGTATTTAAACAACTGGAGAAAACGAATTAAACATTCTCAAAATAAAACGTAGTTTGGATTGGCATCCACTAGCATACAATTAATGATAAGAGCAACAGGATATGCAATACAGGTTTTTTCCATGAGAAAATAAGATTGTCTCCTTTTATTGATATTTATTGAAACATTTTAACCAATATGGTAATAAGAGTTCACTGATGAGGAAGCAATTCTACAGTTTTCCAGTGATAATTATATTCATATTTTATTTTTTTATCAAGAACAGATATAATCACTCAACCAGCAATCTGCTTAGATATGCTTTTAATATTTTAGTGTGAAGTCAAACAATATAGTAATTCTATTTTAAATTTATGGCCTAGAATTAAGTTTTGTTTTATTGTTTTTTTGCTTAGAGATAGATTAGATAATTTTCAGAATTAGTAATTATTTACTTGGGGTTGCAGTAGATCCCGATTGGTATCTATTTTGCTTCCAAGTGGGGCAGGGAATATATGAACATACTGGTGTCTGTTGACTCTGTACATCCATGTAGAACTAAGGTAAGGCTCTCATGTCTACATTTATTAAAGTATCTTAACTAAATTTACATTATACAATCAAAATTTGTTTTCAGATGTGAAGTTTTCATTGGATGATGATGTAGTAAGTGCCCACAAACCATTATTAATGGCACGTTGTGACATGATGGCTGCCATGTTTACAGCTGACTTCCTAGAGGCTTCAGCTGCTGTGGTATGTTTAAGTTCTTTTATACATTACTATCATTAGGTTTACTAGAGACAATTGTTCATGTAAAAACACAGGGCCTCGGTGGCCGAGTGGTCTAAGTAGTTACTACTGTAATCACTAGCCAGTCAACACTGAGGTTGTGAGTTCGAACCCCGCTTGTGCAGGTGCACTCGACTCCAATCTTAAATGACTAGGATTGTCAGTTTTCCTATTGAAGGTCATGGTTTTCTCCGGGCACTCCGGCTTCCTCCACCAATAAAAACTGGCCGCCACGAAATAGCCCAAAAGCGGTGCTTAAAAGTGGTGTTAAAACACCAAAAATCAATCAATCAATCATGTAAAAACACTCAAATTGGAGAGTGTAACGTGTGGACTAAACAACAAATTAAAGGATGTCACCAAAAGGACACATTGTGGAAACATGCAATTACTTTATTACCAATATAAAATGTCATGGTCAAATATAATTTATAAACCTTGTTTCAGATCTTAAGGCCACAGTGAAGACATGTCTATCTATTGTCTATGTATGCAAGTCTTTACAGTGACAAATAATAACTCATCAATCAATAAGAATTTATAGTAACTGTTTACTAAATTTCAGATCCCCTGACCAGGTGTGACTGTTGATGTGTTCAATTGTTTAATGCTCATTAATTTCAGACCCCCTTACCAGGAATGACTGTTGATGTGTTCAACGATTATTATATTTCAGATCCCCTAACCAGGAGTGACTGTTGATGTGTTCAATGTTTAGTAAATGTCAAATCCCCTTAATAGGTGTGACTGTTGATGTGTTCAATGTATATTGAATTTCAGACCCTCTTACCATGTGTGACTGTTGATGTGTTCAATATTTATTATATTTCAGATCCCTTAACCAGGTGTGACTGTTGATATGTTTAATGTTTTTTAAATTTCACTAATAATGTGTTCAATGTTTAGTAAATTTCAAATTCCCTAACCAGGTGTGACTGTTGATGTGTTCAATGTTTAGTAAATGTCAAATCCCCTTAACAGGTGTGACTGTTGATGTGTTCAATGTATATTAAACTTCAGACCCTCTTACTATGTGTGACTGTTGATGTGTTCAATGTTTATTAGATTTCAGATCCCTAACCAGGTGTGACTGTTGATGTGTTTAATGTTTATTACATTTCAGACCCCCTTACCAGGTGTGACTGTTGATGTGTTTAATGTTTATTTCATTTCAGACCCCCTTACCAGGTTTGACTATTGATGTGTTCAATGTTTATTATATTTCAGATCCCCTTACCTGGTGTGACTGTTGATGTGTTCAATGTTTATTGAATTTCAGATCCCCTTACCAGGCGTGACTGTTGATGTGTTCAATGTACTGTGGATTCATTTATTTTCATGGGTATCAATTTTTGTGGATAGAGAAAAAAAGACGTTTCGTGGTATACGTAAATTCGTGGATCGCTGATTACAAAAAAAAATTCAGATTCGTGGATTTCTTTTTGATTTAGGAGATCATATAACCTCCTTGGTTTGATCAATAATAAAACAAACAAAAACGAAGAATTCATTGAAAAAGTTTTGATTTGTCAAAATCCTTGCTTGGTCATTCTAGGTTAAAGTGTTCATTGAAAACTTCTATTACAATAATGGACATAGACAACAAATTATTTGTTTGTTTTACAATTTATAAATTCTTGTCGGAATTTTATAAGGCATTCAAAACTCTATGATTGAAAACTCATTTCCCTAATCACGATATAATATGTAAGTATAAGTAAAAGGTGTGAAAATAAATGTTCCTGTCATAAACACTATTACCTACGGGCAATATCCCCGTACTTAATCCTATTGATTTTTAATCACCAGTAAACCAAACTATGACACGGTAATTAACAACTTGCAGTTATTTTCCATGAACAGTTTAAATCAATTATAAAAAGTAATTTATCACTGATATTCGATATATTTATTATTGATTTAATCAAAATACTTGTATCTTCTTTCAATAAAAACATGTGTTATGTTAAAATGTTTATCGCTAGTCAACACTATACTAGAACTGCATAACATAACCGGACTCCATACACATTTCCCGGGATTATTCTTTGTTGAATTCTTAATTTCGTGGTTTGCTGTAACCCACGAAACCCACGAAAATTGGTATACCACGAATAAAAATGAATCCACAGTATATTAAATTTCAGACCCCCTTACCATGTTAACTGAAGATGTGTTCAATGTTTATTATATTTCAGATCCCCTTACCAGGTTTGACTGTTGATGTGTTGAATGTTTATTGAATTTTAGATCCCCTTACCAGGTTTGACTGTTGATGTGTTCAATGTTTATTGAATTTCAGATCCCCTTACCTAGTGTGACTTTAGATGTGTTCAATCTTTATTATATTCCAGATCCCCTTACCAGGCGTGACTGTTGATGTGTTCAAGGTTTTACAAGAGTTTCTCTACACTGGTTGTGTAACAAATGTAATGGATGTGGATTGTTTGTCATTGATAGAAGTGGCCAACAGGTTTTGTCTTCCAAGGTTTGTCAAGTTGATAGAGAATGCCATCGTAGAACAGTTCCTGATGTGGGATGACAAGAAAGTCAACATTTTAGAGGATGTCATCCTGTTGATAGAACCAGCACATGTAAGTGAGCAGTATATATGTTCAATTATAAAGAATATTGTTTGACAATATTAGGTGAGACGTTTGTCACAATATCATATTTTTAAGCTAGTATACAAAAAACTTTTGTTCGACCACCTAAAGGTAAAGTATGATAGTGTTTAATTGTGAATTTAGAATTTGAAAAAGAATTATCGGTAGTCTTAATTATAGAAGCAATATTTTATTCATTTTCAGTTTTTAAAAAATGTGCAAAATTCAGACATTTTGTCTGCGGGAATTGGTACTACAGGGGTATTAAACGACCTTGACTACCCTTAGAGTTCTCGCATGGTCAGATAGTGGTATAATTATATTTTATATAAACTTTACAATTCCAAAATCAAATGGAACATTTTACAGCTTGCAACTTGCTTAGATTATTGAAATTGAAAGTAAAACGAAAAGTAGAATTCACATTATTTACAAGACGGGAAAAATCTCTGAGTTCTGAGTTGAACTCAAGTTTGAGAAACAATTTGGAAACACAAAAGATCAAAGTAAACAACAACAACAAAAAAAACCCAAAAATCAATATAAATGATATGTATTCACAAAAAAAAAAAAATGGAAAAAAATTCAAATGGTCTTGGTAATGTAACAACCACTACATGCAGGTATTTTAATATATAAAAACATGAGGGAGGGCGAGATCATTTATGGGACACCTGGATCAGACGATTTTAACAACGGGAAATTGGGATTGCCTTGTTGAAAGGTCGGGAATCAGGGATAGAAATACATCGGGATACTGGAAACCCATGTTTTAACCACGGGAAATCAGGATTTTTATGCTGAAATTTAACAGGATTGAACAAGATTATCACACTATTGCCACTTAAGTTAACATAAGCAAAGAGCATGGTGTTAAATTAAGCACACCCTATTTAATCGGCCATTGCGCACCATGAGAATAACATTAAGGGGAGTACAACTAGTTTTACTATTGTAAGATAGCAATTACTTGTGGAAGACTAGTTTCCAATTAAAGTGACTGTCTTAACATCAGGGATTTCTTTTTATTTTTGATAATGTAAACCAGCGTTTCGACTACTTTATAAATTTTTCAAGTGACAATTGTAGTTCTTTTCATGTCTGTAACTTGGTTCAGTGCTTTTCCGAATGGTGACTCTATAGATTCAAATTCATCTCCGTTCAACATAGGTTCTTGTATTGATTTGGATGGATTTTGGCCAATGCTCTGACTGGCTACCGAAGATTTATGAGAACTAAAATGCTTATATGCAGCTTGACGTCACGGTAATATTGATAATAAATAGTCAGATTAGTTATGGCTGACAGACCTTGAACATCAAATATACCTGAGACGTTTAAATCATACGCATTGAACCTGGGACTATTCCCAGTTTGAACCTTAAAACTCTCAAATTGTCGAACAAAGGAGTAGGTCCAGTAAGACCCCTTTTTGGCCCCAAAATATAGCAGTTTTACAAAATTGTTAAAATGTAAACTTCAAGTTATTTACTGGTAAGAAGAATGCTTCTGCTACATAAATATGGGCAGTTTTTGACAATACAATGCACATATATCGGGTACTAGCATCCTTTAGTCGGGCTAAATTACTGAAATCTTCACAATTTTAGCATTTAAGTTTAATTTTAGACGGTGTCCGTCTAAAATGAAAGTGGCCGCATTTGTGTTCATTCTTAATATTGAAATGTAAGTTGTATTTGATGATAATACATAACATATATAAAGGTTGAGGATGAACACGGATGCGGCCACTTTCATTTTTGACAAAAACCATCTCAAAAGTGACAGTTTTGGCATATTTGATATATTTTTCATATTTAAGCTTGAAACGGAGCGTTTTTAATGACTAAATCAGTTAAAATCTTTCCCATAAACTAATAGAATCAACTGAAATAGACACTTTAGTGTTCAAAAAGTGTCCAAAATCCTTCGTCATATGAACCTGAAATTTGAGGCCAAAATCAGCCCTTACCGGACCTACTCCTTTATCGGGAACTGGATTTTTCACAAAATATGTTCGGAATTCCGTGATTTTCTAATTTTAAAACCGGGAAATCGGGATGAAACCCCCTCTAGCCCCCTTCCCCCCATACATACTGTATATGAAAATAGATATTAAGTTACATCAAGGTAAGTTATTATAAGCAATGTAATGGATCAATTTATAATAGCGGTTTTCATTAGTGCAGTTGGAATTAGTATATCTTATGAGAGATTTTTGTCTTTTGATATTACAAATTATACAACTAAAATTTTCATTTGCAAAAAAAATGAAATGGAAACAGACTTTGAACAAGTAACTTGCAAACTCTGTAACTAGATGGAAAGCAACTGTCCTTTGCAAACGACTTGAGCAAGGTGTTGAATATCTATGGGAGTGTTGGTTGGCTGAAGTGATTTGACTAGCTATCCAGCCCACTTGCTCACAGAAGATTTGGCTGGATTACATTAAATACAATAGATTAAATACACCGATTGCTTTGATTAAAAAAATTATAAACTGAGTCAAATTCAAGTTAATTCATGCTGCCAATATATTTGAAAGTTATCTTGATAACTTAGAGACTCTTTTTTTATGTTCCAGTTACATAATGCCTACCAGCTTGCTGCATGGTGTATGGAATATGTGTGTCAGCATTATCCAAATGCATGGAAATATAACAAACACTACATGCAGGCATTATCTAAAGACAATCTCAAATTTTTGGAGATAAACAGATGGCCTCCAGCATGGTAAATTAATATATTATATTTAATGCACATTTTCTGGATTATCAGTTAATTTTATTGTACATTATTTCTACCAAAAGCTCCATCACCTTGGTAATCACCTTGGTAATCACCTTGGTAATCAGTGATCATGTAACTTGTGGTATTAAATGATAATATACAGATTTCAACCCTGGAATATAAGTTATTTTTTTATTTATGCTTCTACCTTGTATTTGAATATTATGAAACAATTTTTTTTTCTAAAGCATCATTCATGAATTTAAAATCTTGAAATCTTCCCAAGTTCTAAAACCCGAAATATAAAATCATTCCTGTTTAATTTTAACAAGGAAAAAGATTACTAAGTGTAAGATTAACGAAATCACTCAAAATAGACAGAAATCAGTCCAATTAGTAGATTTGTAAAATCAAAGTTTTTTGGTTATTTGTGTTTTTGGATTGCCGTCTGATTGACCAATTGAATTATACCCCACATCTTTAATTGTCTTGCCTCCTATGAATGTCGCAGAATGAAAGACATACAGATGGTAATCCTGTGGCAATGGTGTAAACTATTTGTGTAAAGCTTTTAATTTCAATGGTTTGAAAAGACCTAAATACTACATAGATATAAGAAGATGTGGTATGAGTGCCAATGAGACAACTCTACATCCAAGTCAAAATTTATAAAAGTAAACCATTATAGGTCAAAGTACGGTCTTCAACACGGAGTCTTGGCTCACACCGAACAGCAAGCTATAAAGGGCCCCAAAAATTACTAGTGTAAAACCAATCAAACCGGAAAACCAACAGTCTAATCTATATAAACACTACATATCTGGTATACAATTATCTTTGTTCTGAAATTACCGTCTGGAATGTGCCATTTGTTCTAGACCTGCTTTTCATGGTTCAACAACTGCTTAAAAATATATAGTTTTTTATCACTTCATTTCTTAAGTATTGCAAGTAAAAGGACAACTATACTTGGTATATCGAATTATGCAAGGTTTTCATGTCTGTCAGACATGTTTCACTATCTTGACTTCATTTCATGCATCAGTGAGCAACATTAATTTTTCTTTGTTAGGTCTGTTTCTCAGATACTATAAGCAAAAGCTCAACTTTATTTGATGTATAAAATGATTGTCATGTGAACATGTCCTATTGAATCTGTAAATATTTTTTATTTGTTTAAGACATACTTTTTGTTCAACTTGATTTTCTAATTAATTGAATAGGAAGTAATTATTTTATAATAACAAACCAACTAGGTTGCCTTCTTTTCTGTCTGTTCCCTTTAAATCTATATTGCTTTCATCTTATCTGTCAGTCCATTCGTCCAACAAATATTTTTGTCACATATTTTCTCAGGAACTACTGAACAGAATACAGAATGCCTTCATATTTGGTCAGCAGCTTGCCAGTGATGAGTTGTAACATCTGAGCCCTTTTCTGAACTCTCAGGCACCTACTTCCTGTTTGAAGAGACTGTGAATTTTTCAATATTTTGAATGAAATCAATATTTTTGTCACACCCCTCTTTAGTACTACATAACAGAATCACTTCATAATTAGCCTGCAACTAAACAGTGATGACTTGTGACATATAAAATTGAAGCACTTTTTAGATCTGTCAGACACTAACTTCCTGTTTTACGAGTGGGGGTATGCTTGTTTATAAATACTGGTAGTACAGTAAGTATAATGTTTAAGAATCAATGTATATCTAACATTAATTTTGCAGGTATGTAAATGAATGTGAGGTGTATAACAAAGCTATCAATGAAGATGACAAGAAGAGACTAATGCAGAGGCAGGCACAGTTCTCCCGGTTGCAACGTTGTACAACAGCATGTCTTTGCTTCAGACGAAATGCAAGATTTTCATTTGAAGATGCTGATGTTGAAGAAGGGCGGGGTTGAATATGAAAAAAGATTCCCTATTTTTTATGATAAAAACCAGTTGATCAACAATAACAGTATTTTATTGGTTACCATTTGAGGTTTGCTCATCTTTAGTTGCCATGGTTACTGTATCTGGTTTGTTCAGCATAGGTTGTCATGGACCATAGTTTCAATTTAAAAATGTTCAGCTTTACTGATATAAGTAGTAGCTATGGAAGAATTTGAATACTTATTAAATTCAATGTTCCTGTGAATTAGATGATTTGATATAAGTGATAATTTACTAAAATTTTATTATTCAGAAAAATGCAAAATATTTTCTTCAAAATTAATTTTAAAGGAAATAGGAATTAAATAAAGATATAAGCTGTCAATCTTCCTTTTAAAGCAAATGACCACATACTTAGTAGATTAGATTGATTAATGTGTATTAGCTGAACATGTTCTTGAATGTTCTGATATTGGTATAAAGGCTTAAAGAATCAGAAGCAATAGTATTGCAACATGAAGAGTAATATTATGAAGAACATGATTGTTTATATAGTTTGTTTTAAGTTACAATAAAATGAGATGGGACTATTCAATGGATTTAGTAGATATCACTATTAGAATATTATATTGTATGAACTTGTGAGTGCAGTTAATCTTCTATGTTATAATACATTATGTTGAAAAGCTGGTGTTTTATTGGTTAATATAAGGGGAACATTCTTAACTGCTCTAGCACGTGACTCAGTGGTTTAATAATATTTGTAACTGTATTAACCAGTAAAAAATGGCAAAGAAAAAATCTGCAATATTAAAGCAATAACAGAACAATTTTTTTAAAACATAGCTGACAAGATGATGGATCAAATTGTTACCCCTTCTCCTCAGTTGGCAATATTTTTCTCAGGGTAAAAATCTGCTCTACATAATGGTACTATTCACCAATTTTAAAATGACAAAAACTTTATAGTCTCTATGAGTTAATACAGTTAACATAACAAATTTCTAGCAATATTGCACATGAAATATAGTGGAATATTGCCACTGACTATTTGTCATGTTTGCTATACAATATATTAATTTATTAAATACATGTGTATTGTTTTTTTTTTAATTTGGGGTGTTAAATCAGTAATATGTAAATACGATATTTTATTCCCTTTTCTTTTTCTTTTAATCTCTGCATTGTTTATCATGCTATGGAGGTGATATAAAGTTGAGGGGGTGGACAGGGGTAAGGGAACATGGGAATGAAGGGGAGGGAAGTGGGAGGGGAGGGAAGCGGGAGTCAGAGGGGGGGGGGGGGGGAGTAAAATAGGGAAATTCTGAGAGAAAAAAATGATTTTCGTCTGGCAGTAAAGGGAGAGGGAAATGGGAGGTATGGGGTAGGGAAATGGGAATCAGGGACCCCCTGTCCACCCCTCAAAGTTTGTGTTAGGGTATTTTTTTTAGGGTAAAGGCAATGTGCATTAACAATGTATTAATTGTAATTTATGTTGGTTTAAATTGTAAACAGCAATTATTTTAAGGTTCCTTTTTAAAAAAAGCTTTTATTAATAGCAATATTTTGCAGTTACTGTGTATGTTTTAAAAGCATTTATGCCATTCAAATTATTTTATTTTGCTATTTCTCAAGCCATGTCAGGATAAGTCCTTGTAAGTTGTTTCCTTTTTAATTTCAATTTATATAAATATGCATTCTACAAAATTAGGAAAAAATTAAGTACCCTTATTACAAAATATAAGTTCATTACCAAAATTCACATCTTTAAGACCTCGATTTATATATATATATATATTGATTTATAATGAAATTTATTTTTACCTCTGTCTTTGTTGACACTTTTTGAAAGTCCCTTTAAGCAAGTTTATCTTTATTAGTTTTGCAGGAACCCCTCAACATGTACACTCACACACACACACATATATATTGCCATTACCAACCAGGATGTGAGTTATATGTCAGTGAGACAAAAACCCAACAACGCAGAAAAACCCAAAGACATATGTAGACCAATAGATAATCTTCAATTACAAGAGATGCCTATACAGTATGTCCAGCTCTAAACAGTCCTGTGTCTAAAATATTCTGATAAGATTTAACAAAGACTATTGATGACTACAAATTCTCAAAACAAAACAAAAAACAAAAGTCAACCACTGATAAGCTTCCTGTGTCAAATCTATTCATTCAAATTTTTTTTAATTTGAATGGCATAATGCTTTTAACTAACTGTATATAAATCTATATATACTTTATCTTAATTTATATGGTATTTGGTTTTTATACGACCGCAAAAAAATTTTGTGGTCGTATATTGGTATGACGTTGGCGTCATCGTCGTCGTTGTCGTCTTCGTCGTCCGGCGTCGTCGTTTGAAGACACATTGGTTTTCACACTCTAACTTTAGTTTAAGTGAATGGATCTTACTTAAATTTGACCATAAGGTTAAATACCACAAAAGGAAGGTTGGGATTGATTTTGGGGGTTATGGTACCAACAGTTAAGGAATTAGGGGCCAAAAATAAGCATTTTCTAGTTTCCAGACCATAACTGTGGAACGGTGTATGGATCTCTCTGAAATTATACTACAAGTTTCCATACCACAAAGGGATGGTTAGGATTTACTTTGGGGGGTTATGGCTCAAACCGTTTAGGAATTAGGGGAAAAACAGGGTTGTCCTGGTTAATGGACAAATACTTTAGTACAAAACATAATTTAAAGCAGTGTAAGGGAGATAAATCAAATACATCATTGAAATTATCTCCCTTACACTGCTTTTAAATTATGTATAAAGTAATGGTTAATGATCAATAAAGATAATTTAAAACAGTGTAAGGGAGGTAATCCAAATACAACGTTTTGGTTACTTCCCTTACACTGCTTTTAAATTACGTTTAAAGAAATGCATATTTATAAAGGAAGACCAGTAAAAATATCTGCAAATGTTGCATCTTTTTTTTTTACAAAAAAATCCATATGAAAGATTTGACACTATATTTTTAATTCTATTATAAAATAGATTAAGTTAGCACTATGGTAAATTTAAATGGGTAATTATGGTTGCCAACTCCATTGGAAATTTGAATTGAGATTATGACCATATCTTGAGGGAAAGAATTCTTTGGGGAAAAAAAGGGGGGGGGGATAAAAAGAAATTGTGGGGGGTCAATTTTTTCTCATTTCAGATTTCAGAAATTAAAAAGAATTATTCTTCAAAAATTTTTTTTTTTTTCAAATTTCACACAAATATTGAAAAATTTCAAGAAGTCTTTAATTGCACTGTATGGCGCATTAGATTTGTAAAATCTTTGATCACATTTATTTATTTGTTATGCCGAATCTAACAGTGTATTTAGATTTTTAATTTTGGGTCCAGTTTTCAAATTGGTCTACATTAAGGTCCAAAGGGTCCAAAATTAAACTTTGTTTGATTTTAGCAAAAATTGAATATATGAGGTTCTTTGATATGCTGAATCTAAACATGTATTTAGATTTTTGATTTTTGGCCCAGTTTTCAAGTTGGTCCAAGTTGGGGTCCAAAATTAAACTTTTTTTGATTTCAACAAAAATTGAATATATGGGGTTCTTTGATATGCTGAATCTAACCATGAATTTAGATTTTTTATTTGTGGGCCCCGCTATCAAATTGGTTCATATTGAGGTCAAAAGGGTCCAAAATTAAACTTTGTTTGATTTCATCAAAAATTGAATTATTGGGGTTCTTTGATATTCCAAATCTAATCGTGTATTTAGATTTTTAATTTTAAGTCCCGTTTTTTAAATTGGTCTACATTAAGGTCCAAAGGGTCCAAAATGAAACTTAGTTTGATTTTAACAAAAATTGAATTCTTGGGGTTCTTTGATATGCTGAATCTAAACATGTGTTTAGATTTTTGATTATGGGCCCAGTTTTCAAGTTTGTCCAAGTTGGGGTCCAAAATTAAACTTTGTTTGATTTTAACAAAAATTGAATATATGGGGTTCTTTGATATGCTGAATCTAACCATGTATTTTGATTTTGGACATTGGACCATAATAGGTAAATTAAAAAAATTACAGTTCTTAGACCACATTCTTTCTGTGTCAGAAACCTATGCTGTGTCAAATATTTAATAACAATCCAAATTCAGAGCTGTATCAAGCTTGAATGTTGTGTCCATATTTGCCCCAACTGTTCAGGATACGACCTCTGCGGTCGTATCAAGCTGCGCCCCAGCGAAGCATTTTATTTAATTTTATGTTTGTTGTTCCTCATTCATACAGACTTATCAGTCATATTGATTGGTTCATACTTGTTGTGGTGAAATGTTGGCTATGTTGTTTCCTATATATATGATTTTTTTTTTTTAAATTTTTTAAAATACTTGTGAATTTTATTAATTGAAGACAACTTACAACCTTTTTTTAAGAATAGTACAAATAGTAAAATAAAATCTTCATCAGTATTTATTGACAAAAGTATGATTATAATTGATACTGAGGGAATTTAAAAAAGTTTTTGAAATTTGAATCACAAGTGCTATTTGTTTATTATTTACAATGAATTTGAAATTCCAATGAAGTGCTAATTTTTTCTCAGAAATTTTGGCAGTGCTTCTTTTTGCCCAAGTGCTTTAACTAACAATACTTACATTGGAAGTGCTTCTTTTTGCCCAAGTGCTTTAACTAACAATACTTACATTGGCAGTGCTTCTTTTTTGCCCAAGTGCTTTAACTAACAATACTTACATTGGTAGTGCTTATATATTTCTTGTCATTTTATAAAATTTAGTGCTTCTGTAGATAAATTCATAAAGTCATAGACAAAAATGTTAAGAATTTGAAAAAAAGGATGCTTTTATTGAAACATAGATCTGAAATTATTGTTTTGAACCTGTACTCTGCCAGGACCCAATAAACTTGGAACAGGTGTGTTATGATTGTGATACAGGTGTTAAATTTACTAGTCGATTTTTTTGAATTAGTGAAAAACAGTTTTGATACAAGTGTGCCAATAAACTTGATGTAGGTATATTGTCACAATTTTAATACAGGTGTTTAATTTACTTGCCAATTTGTTTTTAATTGTGAAAAACAATTTTGTTACGAGTGTGCCAAAGGAATATATTTCAGTCCTTTTTTTCTATGCCAAATAACTTGTAGATTTTTATCACAGAATTAAAGATGATTGTTTTTAACATTGATTATTAGCATCTTTACAATTTTTAATCTTTTTCATTTTTTTTTTAACTCCTAAAATATTTACCTTTGAATTAATGTTATTGAACCTTTTTATTGTTTTCCAAACAAAAGACATTTATTTATTAATATGAACACTCCAAGGAACAAATATATGTTTTTTTTTACTGTTAAAGATAGATATTTTAAATTTTGCTAGGTTTGGTAACACAGCAAAAGTAGTCAGCCCTATAATACATGTTTTGGAATTGCCTGAGAATTATAATGTTCATTTAAATAAACTATTGTCTGATAAATATGGTAAATTTACACAGACTAAGGTTGCTACTTCCTTGAGGATAGAATCTCTTCAATGGTTTTAGACCTCTTTTAGTTACAGATCTCTCTTGTAGACCTTTTTTGGTTACAAAGCTCTCTTGTAGACCTCTTTTAGTTACTAAGCTCTTTGTAGACCTCTTTTAGTTACAAATCTCTCTTGTAGACCTCTTTTGGTTACAAAGCTCTTTTGTAGACCTCTTTTGGTTACAAAGCTCTCTTGTAGACCTCTTTTGGTTACAAATCTCTCTTGTAGACCTCTTTTGGTTACAAACTCTCTTGTAGACCTCTTTTGGTTACAAAGCTCTTTTGTAGACCTCTTTTAGTTACAAAGCTTTTTTGTAGACCTCTTTTGGTTACAAAGCTCTTGTAGACCTCTTTTGGTTACAAAGCTCTTTTGTAGACCTCTTTTGGTTACAAAGCTCTGTTGTAGACCTCTTTAAGTTACAAATCTCTCTTGTAGACCTCTTTAAGTTACAAATCTCTCTTGTAGACCTCTTTTGGTTACAAATCTCTCTTGTAGACCTGTTTTGGTTACAAAGCTCTATGTTTATTTGACTATGGTTGACCTAATTTTTGGATCTAAACATTACTGATGTAGGTTATTCAATGAAGTCTTGAAGGCAGAACAGGTGCAATATAGAAACAAACAAAGATTTATTGGAAAATGATGATACTTTGTCTCTTGAACCTTTACAATTGTTAAAATGATACATGTCAATTTGTGTAATTATGAATAACTTGTCATCCCTAAGTGTTTGATTCTACCTCGAGTAGGCTCAAAAGGTTGCAGTTTAAGGGAAGAACTCTGTAATATTTTTATGGTCACAAACATGTCTTTATTATTTGGGAGTAACTTAGATCTGTACTTTTTTGTAGTCTTTTTGTTAGTTGTTTTTTTTGTGCTTCATGCTGATCTGATCAAACATGCCCTTTGTAACTGATTTTTCAAAGTTTGTTCTGTTTCACCACTGTCCCCGGTTGGAGGAGTGATGAGTGTTCACAAGTATGTTTAATCCTGCCAAATTCTATATTTGCCTGGCACCAGTCATGACTTATAAGTCTGTTATTCATTACTTATCTTTGGTTGCTGTCTGTCATATTTGTTTTTCGTTAATTGTTTTATCATAAATCAGGCTGTTGATTTTCTTGTTTGAATTGTGATGACTAGGCCTTTTATAGGGAAGAACTCTGTAATATTTTTATGGTCACAAACATGTCTTTATTATTTGGGAGTAACTTAGATCTGTACTTTTTTGTAGTCTTTTTGTTAGTTGTTTTTTTTGTGCTTCATGCTGATCTGATCAAACATGCCCTTTGTAACTGATTTTTCAAAGTTTGTTCTGTTTCACCACTGTCCCCGGTTGGAGGAGTGATGAGTGTTCACAAGTATGTTTAATCCTGCCAAATTCTATATTTGCCTGGCACCAGTCATGACTTATAAGTCTGTTATTCATTACTTATCTTTGGTTGCTGTCTGTCATATTTGTTTTTCGTTAATTGTTTTATCATAAATCAGGCTGTTGATTTTCTTGTTTGAATTGTGATGACTAGGCCTTTTATAGCTTACTAAATGGGTTTTTCTAATTTTTGAAGGCTGTACAGTGACCTATTGTTGCTTACATTCATGTCATGTAGTCTCTGGTGGATAGTTGTCTCATTGTAATCATAACGCATCATCTTTTATAGTATCTGGAATTTCCAAATTACTTGTATTAAAATTATGTTCAATTATTAAAATTATGTTCAATTGCTTTCTTTTGGCTGGCCACAATAATTTAAGGTTTGACTATTGTTTTTTTACAATTTGAGCTTTTTAAACATGATCTATTAAGTTACTTGTAGTCAATCTTATTAAGTGTTCATTTCAAAAAATAAAAAAGGGGTTTCCTCATAGAATTGAAAAGCCTGGTTTGAGTTCTTTCTGCCTGAATAAATTCTTTTGATATGATTATAAAGATTTTGACAAAGGTAGAAAAACTTTTTGAATTTCATTTTTTTTTTTAATTCTGTACTGTAATTTTAATTTTTTATTTACATTTATCTTAAAGCAGAGCAGAGTTATGACTTCAAGATTTGTAAAAGATTCCACCTTTATTGCCTGAAAAGTATATTATTATTGCTAAACACATATGACTCAGATTACTGGTATATAAAAATAAGATACAGAGGACCTCAGATTTCTCTTGATAATTATAAATTTTTAGATTTGATATGAAATGTTTACATAAGCTGTTATTTTTAGCTTCAGGTCTCTTCACCTTCAGATAAACCTTTACATTTCTGTTTCGTTTTTTGTAAAGTTTTTACAAAGAGGAAGAGATTTCTAACTCACATTCTTTTTTAGACTTCAATGTTTGTAAACTTAAATATAATTTCTTTGTCATTGGGTTGCTGTCTCATTAACCTATACTACACATCTTCATCACTTTTATATTGAATTACAAGGTTGTTGAATTATGTATGATATGAAGTTTATACTATTTCTCTGCTGAGATGTAAAAAAAAAAGTTTTTCTCTTGTGATTAGAAAGAAATACTCTCTGTTTAAGGATAATAATTCAGAAGTACTTTTTGTGGTGTATATTTTTTTTAATGAAAATGATTCATGCTAAATACTGTTTGCTGATAAATATTTTCAGTCAAATTTTTAACCTTTTCAGTGCTGAAAGAAAAATAAACAGTGTAGAAAGACATTCCTGTCTAGTACCATCTACTGTCAGAAATTTGGTTTTTCTCAAATATAGTTTATCCTGATGATGGGTTACCAAAAGCTAGTTTTGGCACCATTGACTCTTAACTTTCAATCTTCTTATTAATGACGAATAGAGGGTTACAAGTGTTGCAATATTTGTATGATATTTTATAGGCATAAGGACCAGATACAATCACTCAAGAATCAATCACTAAATAATAGAAATTTCCACTTAATATGAACATTGATTTAAAATTTTACTTATTTGTAGCAAGAAGAGAAGAAGGTTTTTTTAAGGAACTAAACACGTCGTCATTTCCCTATAAATTTCAATACTTCTTCCTTTGCTAAATCTGAACATATTTATTAATTTATGTCACTTAAAATCACCAAGTTGTGTTGTATTGTAGAAGAATATATAATTCTATTTTTAGATTTATAACTTTTTTGAAAGAAATCTGTGCATGAAATGCTGGTTGTGGTTATTGGTAACTGATGGAAACTGGTCTCAACCCATATTCTTTATGTATTATATGTTAGACATATAGTAAAATAGGACTGCAATTTGGTTTTTTTTAATCCATTGTGCAAGACCATTGGAAGCAAAATACAATTTGTATCTCTTTTCTAATAAATGGTACAGTATTGTAATTTTTACATTTTACTTGCATATTGTGTACTAATAAATAAGTGTTATATGTAAATGTCAACTTATCTAGTTGTACAATTTCCATTGAAAGTTCAAAACGTTTTAGTTTAAAGAAATTTGATAACAATCAGTCTATGAATTGATGTATTGTGCAAGATGTATCATGTTTGTTTGAAGTTTCTGTAGATCAGTTTACAACTAATGACATCCGTATATGATACATTAAAGATTTACTGGATTAATGAATACATGGTAAAGCTTGGAAAATATGTGCACATCAAAATGCCCTTTTTATGTATGCAAGTTGAATTTTTGAAGTTATTTCATTAATTTATTCAACCTTGCAAAGTTTCAGTGAAATATGTAGAAAATTCTGCATTACAAATTATCATTTCGCATTGATTGAGTTTCAGCATTTGTATGATGTTAAGTTTTGAATTAAACACCAGCTGGTGATTATGTTATATATCTAGTCAGTAGAAGGTTTGGATTGATGAAAGATTGTTGCAGGAAAGTGTGCATAAATAAATGTGAAGAATGTTTTGTAAGTTTAAGAAAGTTAAAGTGAATATTTATTGTTGACTGTAATGGTAAGGGTAACTGCTAGATATAATACTTCACGGTTTGTCTTTCCAAGATTATTTCACTTTTTAAAATGTTATTGTTAAGTTAGAGTAAATTGTTTTGAAAATAATCCTTTTATTTAGCTGATTATTTTGTGATAATCCACTAAATGTAGCTTAGAAGTAAAAATATAATCATTTCAATATCAGGTGTTCTTTATTTAGTAGGTATAGTTTTGATGGGCTAAGGATCAAAATTTGTGTTTTTATATATAAAAAGTGATTTTATAGATGAATGTACAATTTCAACAAAATATGACAATATTTAGATAAAGGATGTTATTCTATGATATTACTTATTGTTATTTTATTTTCCTTGTTATATAAGGGTATTAATTTATTGAATACATCAGTCTTCCATTTATGATATACACTATATCTCAAGTAGATTTTGTTATTTTCATTTGTTCACTGTGGAAACATAGTGGACAGAGCTTCTAGATGGTATGTCCACCATATGATTAAATTTTATTTATCACCAAAAGAATTGAATATTTGTAGTACCTTTGAATAATTTTATATAATATTTTTACAAACCGAGGTCAGATTAGAGTTGAAGTAGTACTGGGCTGCCCATGATGGACAAGTTGAAGTAACAGAGTTCACCTGAGTTGTAGTGTAGGGAAATATACTGTGTTCATTGTAAGACAATCATTGTCATCTATCAAAACAACATAGGTATTCTTCTGTTTATGAATGGATTGGATATCATCTGTCTCTTAGCAGTAATAAGTTCTAGAAAGTCACCATAAAAAAGAAATATGTAAAAAGCATTAATGTTAAAACTAAAATATCTTTTAATCATTATTATGTTTCTAGTCTTATGTATCCATGTAGCTTTGTTATGCTTATATTTTGTGATATATTCAATTAAACAAATAAAAATATAGTGTATTTTATTCTTTAGCCTATAAAGTGTCAAAAACTGAATGTTACACCACTGAATTGTGAATGGTAGATCTTGTAGAGCTTATAGCAAATTCCTCGATTTTTATTAGCCGAGTTGCAGCAATATTTTTACCAAATTCGGTTGATTATTAACCTATCTGGTGAAGAAGACTCCTATTGATTTTAAGTCAAAAAGTCTGAAGTCAAGCTCACAGACGCTATTGGTAAACAAACGTTTTGGCAAACTTTTTGGTTTTCGAATGTTATCTTTTGTACAAGATGTTCAACTTTTACCAAACATTGTTGATAATTCACCCACCGAAGTAAGACCACTATTTAATTTTGCATTATTAGATCAAAGGTGAAGGTCATTGTAGATTGAAATGTGAGCAAAATTTCGGGGTTATGAATGTTCTTTTGAACCATATGTCCAACTTGTTAAAACTGGGTCTGACAATGTTGCATTGGGTGAAGAAGCCTCATTATTTTAAGGTCATTGGGTCAAATAAAGGCAACAGTAGTATACCGCTGTTCGAAACTCATAAATCGATAGAGATAAAAACAAATTCGGGTTACAAACTAAAACTGAGGGAAACGAATCAAATATAAGAGGAGAACAACGACACAACAAAAACACAACATTAAAATGTAACACACACAGAAACGAACTATAATATAACAATGGCCATTTTCCTGACTTGGTACAGGACATTTTAAGAAAAAAATGGTGGATTGAACCTGGTTTTGTGGCATGCCAAACCTCCCGCTTTAATGGCAACGTCAAACACAACACCAAAACGACA